TTATGAATCTGTCTCCAAGTTATGCCAGGAAATTCAGATCTGCTATTGACTTTTTTTCTTTCCACTTACTGTATTTACGTTTCAACTCCAGAATTTCCATTTGGCTTTTCTTTTTGATCACTTCTCTCTCTTTATTGATATTCTTTATTTGATAAGTTGTCGTTATACCTTCCTTCATTTCTTTAAGCTTGGAGCCTTTTGGTTATTTGAACACATTTTTAATTACTGGTTTGAAACTTCTGTTAAGTCGGACATCTAGGCCCTCTCTCAGGCAGTTTGTTGCTTGCATTTTTTCTTTTTGTTTGGTATATATAATACATGTCACATTTCTCTGTATCTTTGTGTGTCTTGTAATGTTTTCAGTTCTGATTTGTATCGTCACTGGAGCTTTTTGTATCGTCACCCTCACTACGTCTTTCTCCGGGACTTTTACACCTAGTACAATACAGAAAACACTACCACTCAAGCACCTACTTATAGTCCATCTTGCATTGTTTGCGTCTGTTTCTTGTATAGCAAAAAGGAACAAGAAAATTGTATCTGTGATCATAACCTCAATAAGCAACCGCTTATTCATGAACATAAAATATTTTTCCTTCCAAATGTACGGAAGGAGCAGGAGAACCTGCCCCGCTTCCTACTGGCACCTCTTAGCTCCTTGGAGACGTAGGAGGAAAAGGGGGAAGACGAACCATCAGGAACATGAAGAGAAATCTCTGCAAAATGGTCCTGACGCCCATCTTGTTGGGGCCGTTGGGCGCCCAGGAGACGCCATCCTGAGGGGGGCCTGGTTCCCGGCGGCGCCTCAGCCAGCCTGTGCCCCTCCTGAAGCTCAGCAGCACCCCGGGGTGCAGGAAATACCAAAGGTCCAGGTCCAAGGCGGCAGCAGCCGTGCAGGGCGGGCCGCAGACACCGAAGGCTCCACGCGCCTCTGGTCTGTGATCCAGGTGCTGCGGGCGCAAGAGTGAGTCAGTCCACACCTCACAGCGACAGGGGAGCCTCGGAGCTTAACGTCATCAGGCCTCTCATTGTACTGATCAGTAGTGTAAGGACATTCACATTGCTGTGTAAACACGATCACTATTCACCTTCAGAACTTTGTTTTTTAAAGATTTTATTTACTTACTTTTTGGGAGGGAGGAAGAGAGGGAGAAAAACGTTAATGTGTGGTTGCCTCTCGCGCGCCCCTTACTGGGGACCTGCCCCGCAACCCAGGCCTGTGCCCTGACTGGGAATCGAACCGGCGACCCTTTGGCTCACAGGCTGACACTCAATCCACTGAGCCACACCAGCCAGCTCTGACCTTCAGAACTTTTTATAATTCCGTTCTGAAATACGACCCATTTAACAGTAACTCCCCACTCCCATCCCTAATCCCTGGTAACCACGGTTCTACAGTCTGTCTCCGTGCGCGTAACTACTGTGGGAGCCTCATACAAGTGCATTCATGAGAGCGCTGTCCTTTTTTACTGGCTTATTTCACTCAGCATATTGTCTCTTGGGTTCACCTATTCTGTCGCATGTGTCAGAATTCCATTCTTTTCCAAGGCTGACTAATAGTCCGTCTTAACACCGTTAACTGCCATCTCCCGTGCAGCAAGAAAAGAACACGTCCATTGTATTTTTGTTTATTCAGTTGTCCGTCCATTCATTCGTTGAGCAACACTTGGGTCGTTTCCACCTTTTGCCTTTTGTGAATAAGGCTGCTGTGAACATGGGTGTAGGGATATATATGTTCAAGTCGCTACTTTTAATTCTTTTGGATACATAGGGGTCTAGAAATCGAACTGCTGGGTCATGTGGTGACTCTCTGACTAACTGCCATGCTGTTTTCTACAGCAGCTGCACTATTTTCCATTCTCACCAGTGCACAAGGGGTTCAGTTGCTCACAGCCTCCGTCACACTTCCTTTCTGGTTTTTATTTACTTATTTATTTACTTTTTTAGACGAAGGGAAGGAGTAATGGGGAGAGAAACTTCAATGTGTGGTTGCCTCTTGCACGCCCCCTCCTGGAGACCTGGCCCGCAACCCAGGCATGTGCCCTGACTGGGAATAGAACTGGCGACCCTTTGGTCTGGACGCCGGCACTCCATCCACTGAGCCACGCCAGCCAGGGCTACTTTTATAGTAGTCATCTTTACGGATGTGACGTGATACCTCATCATAGCCTTGAGTGGCATTTCCCTAATGATTAGTGTGCTGAGCATCTCTTCCTGTGCTTTTGGCCATTGTTTTAAATATCGCCTTTGGAGAAACATCTATGCGATCTTGTGCTCATTTTTTAATTGTTTCTCATCTTTTTTGACTTGTGGTTTTTTGTTGCTCCTGGATACCTTAGGTAGCGCATGGCAGCCTGTGTGGATACTGATTCCTCTCCCCTTTTCTGTTGTTCGCTTATTCACTCCCTTAGTGACTCGACACCCTTTCCAGGAGAGACGAGCGGCCTTAGCTCCTGTGCTAACGGCCCTCACTGTTCTTACTGAGATTTAGAAGGTCTTCTTGAATAAATGTGTCTTGGTGGACTGTATGCTCTTAGGACAATTTCCAGAGACTTAAAAAAAATGTACTTGAATACCTGATTCGCCGGTTCAAGTTGTTTTGCTGGGGACCTGGTCCACGGAGCGCCTCACGTCCAGGTTCCGGGCGTGGACTCTTGACCTTTCATTCTTAATTGGGCAGCACGCGTGGGTACGGGGACACCCTCTTCCCACAGGCACGGCGTGACCTGCACACCAGGGATTCACATGGATTCAGGGCTGATCGCTGGTAACTGCCCCACAGGGTGAACTGGGGGCACTTTAGGCTCAGCTCTGTCCTGTGACGCAGAGGACAACATGGGCCACGTTTGCGTCCGACTCCCTGGGGAGGCCGGGAGCCGCTGCCGGGGCCGCGCCCTCTCCTGCTGGCGGCTGCCAGCGGAGGCAGAGCTCTGGGCCGCAGGAGAGGTGCCTGTCCCCAGAGCCACCACCTGCAGGTGGTTCTTCACCAGGTCAGGTGCCGCTGCCCAGCCGAGGTCGTTGTTAGCTGGTGCTGTCCCCTGGCCGTGTGGCCGTCAGCTCGCCGGGGCCACGGACTGAACCACAGCCACTCTGCCGTGCAGAGAGGGAGGGAGGGAATATTCCATCCACCGCAGGCCATAGACTCAGCCCGTTGCTCCAACACTGTCCTCTGTCCCAGTGGGCACCGTGTGCTGTGTGTAGTCACCAGTGTCCTGAGGTGCCTGCCATCTGCCACAGTTGTTCGCCTTACTCTTTCATAACTGGGCCGATTCGGGAGGGTCCAGGTCGGCTAATTCATAGGCTGTTTCAGCCGCCTTCTTATTAGACACAGGTGATGCAGTTGGCAGGGCCACCACTGAGGTGACACTGTGTCCTCCTCAGTGACCTCCCAGGAGGCACAGGACGCTGGTTTCTCCTGTTGCTGATGCTGTCAGCTTTGACCACTGTCACGCACAGTAAAGATAACTATTCAAAAAAGATTTATTAATTAATGTATTCACTTTTAGAGAGAGGGGAGGGGAGGGAGAAAGAGAGGGAAAGAAACATCACTGTGTGGTTGCCTCTCGCGCGCCCCCTGCTGGAGACCTGGCCTGCAACCCAGGCACGTGCCCTGACTGGGAATCGAACCGGCGACCCTTCGCAGGCCAGCACTCAATCCACTGAGCCACACCAGCCGGGGCAAGATAACTTGTTATAATTAATGGAAAACCAGTGGAGGTGACTCATGGACACCACGTGACAACACTGCTCCCCAGCCCACTCGCCTCACTGTCCATTGATGATTCCTGCCTGTATTCCTTTTTCATATGAAGTTGCCAAACGGTGACATTCTGGCTCAGCCCTTCCTCCTGCTCTGTCGTTTTGTTTTATAAGTACGTACTGTGATGGCCGTAGCTCTGCTCCTCCGTGCCGTGGGCTCGCTTCCTGCGTTCGTTACACCAAATTATCGAGAAGTAAAATGTGCAATCAGAAGAAGGTCCTCTACCCTGAATTGAGAGAAACCTCTCAGACGAGGAGCATTTGACATACCTGAAGGACAAACGTCGGTCTCAGAGGTCGGGAGACCCTCTTGCTGATGGCACCTGTCACACAGGCAGGAAGAGGAACGGGTGTGACAGACCTAAGGGGCACACAGGACTCGGCAGATGTCCCATCACCAAGGGAGCGCACGGGTCCGCTGCCCGGGTGGTTGACAAAGAGCCACCCCAGAAAGGTTCTAAGTTATGAAAACTGAGTAACCTGTAAAATAATTTTATATATGAGTTGGTTATAGTAAGTGCACAAGAAATTGGGCTGTAAAGAACAAATCTCCTTTGAAAGGAACATAAAACTTCATCCCAGCCTTGGACCACGTGGCTCTCAGTTGACCTGAACTGATAGGTCGCAGGTTCAGTTCCCAGTCAGAGCACATGCAAGAGGCAACCAATTGATGTTTCTCTCTCTCTCTGTCCCTTCCTTCCTTCCCTTCTCTCTAAAATCTATAAGCATGTCCTCAGGTGCATAAAGTATTTTTTTTTAAATTACTTTATTCCAACAAATATTTGTGTCTCTGGGTGGTATGTTGCAGCCCCAGACCCCAAATCATAAAGCTTCAGTTTGCTGTTTGGGTCCGCTTGACTTTGTTGCAGAAATACCTGCACTTTTAGTGGCTTGTCATGCTGCTATTTCTAGACTAACTTAAAGATTCTTTACAGTATGACATTCATTATTCTTTACAAAGGTTTCTTAATATATTTCGTTTTAGAGAGAGAGAGAGAGATCAATTTATTGTTCCACTTATTGATGCATTCACTGGTTGATTCTTCTATGTGTCCCGACTGGGTAGCGAACCCACAACCCGGGTGCATTGAGACAACGCTCTAACCCACAGAGCTGCGCGGCCAGGGTGTTCTATTCTATTCTTTTCAATCTTCATTTTCATGCAATTCCTCTCTTAAGTATGAGGCTCATGACCCTCTTGCTTCTCGCCTTCCTGACGTTTCCCTCTCGCTCTTTCATAGGTACCTCCTATTTAACAGACATTGTGTGGTGGGCAGGCACCATCGCAAGTAAGTACCATTTCCCTGGCAGGACTGGGTGGGGGGTGCGGCGAGGCGGGGCATGGCCCGGGGCGGGGAGGTGGGTTCCATCCTTAGGAGCCAGGACCAGACGGCCCCTGCTACCTCCTATTAGCCTTGAATGGGCTTGCACTCTCCTGGGCGCAGAAAAGCTAAAATAGCTCCTACTTATTCACGTGAGGCCGGGCTGTTGGCCTTTGGCGAAATTCCCCATTTTGCTGGACATCATTGGTTTTACGAAAGCGGCTTTCTTCACTCAGCCGTAAGGACCAGAGATCGTGTGTTATGACAGAAAACGCACAGAGGTCAGGAGCTATGATCAAAAGAAAGAAAATTAGAGTTGAGAACTTTTAAATGTATAAAGGAGTGATAGGTGAAATTTCAGAAATATCGTGAGGTCTGTTTGTCTCGCGTTGTCGTTTAGTTGAGGAACGATCTCGCAGTCGTCGATCACTGTGACCGAAGAGCTGTTCTTTCAGCTCTCGCTCCCCGCCGCCCTGTGCCGTCCTGTGTCCATGTGACTCAGCAGCCCCGCGGGTCCCGGACCATTTCAGGGACACGGGGAGCCCGGCACTTTTCGTCTTAAAACAAGGGTGTGTTAAGCAGAGAGTGGAAGTACACAGCGTTGCATCCACTGACAGTCACTGCCCTTATTAGCTGGGGAATTTCCAGAGACGGTTGAAACAGCTCGGGATAGTGACGCGGGGAGCGGCGGGGCGGGGGGAGGGGCGGGAGCTGCGCTCCCGCGCAGCCAGCGCCCTTAAACTTGCAAATGATGCCTTAAACTTGCCAATGATGCTCCGCACCCCCCAAACACACCTTTAGTTTCTCGCAAGCCCTGGAAGGGAGGTAGCTATTTCAGGGCAGAGCCTCCCCCAAATTCAACTCCGATCCTTGCCAGGAGAGAGTACCTCTGTCATTGCAAGTGACGTCCTCTGATTCTCTCGACAGTGGCTGTTGGCCAGATTGGAAACTTCCTGGCTTACACGGCGGTCCCCACGGTCCTGGTGACGCCCCTGGGGGCCCTTGGAGTGCCATTTGGGTGAGAGCTGGGGTTCTGGGTTTTGGGTTTTAATGTGTCATATGTATAAAATGGAGACTTTTCCTTGTCAGTGCTTCTGTTCAGATAATAAAAGGAAAATCATGATTGAAGACAGGCCTCTGGTGTTCTCCTCCTCTGCATGGTTTAGTTTTTACTCCTTCAAATTTAGTTGAGTTAATATTTTACTTTTAATTGTTTTTAAAGATTTTATTTATATTTAGACAGAGGAGAGGGAGAGAGGGGGAGAGAAACATCCATGTGTAGTTGCCTCTCATGCGCCCCCTGCTGGGGACCCAGCCTGCAACCCAGGCATGTGCCCTGACTGGGAATCGAACCAGCAACCCTTTGGTTCACAGGCTGGCCCTCAGTCCACTGAGCCACACCAGCCAGGGCTAGTTGTGCGAATTATTAACCCTTCTCTTAGAAATCAGCTTTAGTATATTTCAAAACCTAACTTACTCCTGGGGACCAAGCGATGTCATGCTGTCGTTTTCCGTGTTGGCCCTGGAGGACGTCCGAGAGCGTAGAATTTCCTTGGCACCTTGGCAAGTGACTCAGAGAAATCCGTAAGCAAAGCTGGTCTGCTGGTATTTTATCTGGGTGCTGACTGTCCCCTGCTGGACACCAAGCCACCCTGCACCCCTGGAAGACTGGAGGTTGGGACAAGTCACAGCTGGGCTTGTCAGGACTCATGCGACAGGACTCATGTCTCACCAGAGTCAACAGCAGCTGGATCCCCCCAGGAGAGGGGCCTGGCCTGATCTGGGCCAGGGGCGTCCAACCTTTTAGCATCTCTGGGCCACACTGGAAGAAGAAGAGTTGTCTTGGGCCGCATATTAAGTGCAACAAACACTAACAAAAACCGATGAGCAAAAAAATGTTTTATGTACATTTCCCATTTGGGGCTGGGCCGCATGGGGCCGGCAGCCACGGGTTGGACACCCCTGGTCTGCGGTGCCACGGGAGGGAGGCAGAGCTTTGGGTTTTTATTGGCGTTAGGAGGTGAGCTGGGCGTGTCCAGGGACCAGGCACAGCAGGACCCAAGGCTGTGTGCAGGCCTTACCAGCGTGCCCGGATGTGGGGCAAAGGGCAAAAGGAAGGAGAGGGAACGTGGAGGTTCCCAGCCACCAACCCACGTCAGAAATGGAATCTTGTTATCATGCATTACCAGCTACAAAAAGGACGAAGTAACACATCTCCTCCCACGAACCTATTTGTATTGTGTTTTCCTTTGTATTTGTATTAAATCATTAAGATGTGATGGAAGAGAAGTAAAATCCAAGGTTCTCACTCGATGTCGCTGGAGACATCGGTCTTCTGCTGTGTTCCGGGCAGACCCCAAATCCTGGCACAGAATTATGTCCGTGGTGGATTTATCTATTTATTATTTGTCCATTCTCACCCAAGGACATGCTTATTGATTTTTAGAGACAGGGGAAGGGAGGGAGAGAAATATCGATGTCAGAGAGAAACATCAATTGGTTGCCTCTCGCTCAGACCCCAACCAGGGATCAAACCTCCAATCAACGTATGTGTTCAGACCAGGAATCGAACCCGCGACCTTTCAGTTCACAGAACGATGCCCCCACCTGCCAGGACTATGATGAATGTATCTAATTGTATGTCACTAAGCTTTAAGTGTCTGAGGTCTAAAAAGCACAAATGCATTTTGCACGGACAAAACTTTGAAAATGTGTCCGTACCATAGCGTGCTGCCCTTACCCAAACGTAAAGCTAATACCACACGTGGCTTGACGTCACTTTGCATGCGGGATGGCCCCGAAACGCACGCGTGGCACGTGTCGCGCTCACCTCGAGGAATCGTCACTCCTGCTTCCCGGACCTTAGCCTCACTGTCCGACTCGTTCCCCTGAAAGGTAACCAGGGAAACAAACAACCCAACCCTGTGCTCTCCGCGCGCCACAGATGCAAGCGCGGTATGGAAATGCCTCGCCTGATTAATTTCCAAAGAGCTGTTCTCATGGATTAAGACACGTGCTGACAATGGTCACTGTTCCAAGTCTTTGGGAGACGTTTACTCAAAAAACCATGTGTGTGGTATTACGGATAGAAAGCTGCCTTCAACTGAGGGTCCCAATAAAAATTCTTTAAAAAAAAATATTTATTTATCTTTAGAGGAGAAAGGAGGAAGAAAGTGAGGGAAAAAAACACCTATGTGTGGTTGCTTCTCACACGCCCCCTACTGGGGACCTGGCCCGCAAACCCAGGCATGTGCCCTGACTGGGAATCGAACCAGCGACCCTTTGGTTCCCAGGCTGGTGCTCAATCCACGGAGCCACAGCAGCCAGGGCTAAATGTTCTTTTTAAAAGAAGAAAACTAAATTAATTGGGAAAAAGTAAGGAGATCCAAAAGTGTGTGTGTGTATTTATAAATATGTGTTTACTTGTATATTTAATATGTTAAATATACATTCATATATTTAAATATGTATATTTAGAGATGTTCTCTTGACGGTGGGGTGGTGTTACTAGAATCACATAGAAATTGGCATGAAAAGAATGTGGCACCGGGAAACAGCCTGTATATCAGTAAAACGTAATAGCGTCCCCACATGGGCCCACGTTTCTCTGCAATGGTTTACTGGTTCATAAACATTACAACATAGTAATGTTTTGAAAGAGAGTTTTTTAAAACATTTTTTTGGACATAATTTCCAAATGGAAGAAAAGTCATCCGATTACGAATAATGAAGCAACACTCACGTGCCCGTCACCCAGACGTGTGTGTTGTTCACATTTTATCCCAATTGCTCCATCCCATGCTTTCTCTTTAGATCAGGGTTTCTCAACCTTCACACTATGGGTGCAGCCACTGTGGAAAACAGTATGGAGGTTCCTCAAAACACTAAAACGAGCCCTGGCTGGTATGGCTCAGGGGCTTGAGTGCCGGCCTACGGAACAAGGGGTCACCAGTTCGATTCCCAGTCAGGGCACGTGCCTGGGTTTTGGGCCAGGTCCCCAGTAGGGGGTGTGTGAGAGGCAACCACACATTGATATTTCTCTTTATCTCCTTCTCTCTCCCTTCCCCTCTCTGTAAAAAGTAAATAAATACAAAACGAAAGCAAACCCATAGATGCAGAGAACAAACTGATGGTCTCCAGATGGGAGGGGGACTGAGGAGTGGATAAAAAGGTGAAAGGAACTAAACCAAATTGCCAGTTATGGAAATAGTCATGGGGCTGTAAAGTACAGCACAGGGAATATAAGCAATAGTATTGTAATAACTATGTATTGTGCCAGATGGGTACCAAACTTATTATCATCAGTTTTGTAAGGCGTATGAATGTGTATTCACTATGTTGTACACCAGATAATAATTATAGTATTGTAGTCAAGCATAACTGGGAAGAAATTTTTAGGTAAAAATTTCTTTAAAAATTTATTGGTTTTATGTAACAGCCCCCAATAGGTTGGGTTAGCCAAAAAGTTTGTTTTTTCCGTAAGGTGGCTCTAGTAGCGCTTAGTTGTCTTTAACTTCATTTGAAACAATCTTGTTAGATTGCATTGTGACAGCTGTCATATCAGCGTGTATTTTCTTAAAAACTTATCAAAATTGGTCAATTTCTCCATAGCCATTTTAATATTGAAGGTAGAAGAAAATAAGCTAACATTTTTAGCATATTATGCTTTATTCTTTCAAGAAAGGTAAAAACACCACTGAAACATAAAAAAAAAAAATTTGTGTAGCATATGGAGAAGGTGCTGTGACTGACCAAAAGTGTCAGAAGTGGTTTGCAAAATTTTGGGCTGGAGATTTCTCGCTGAACAATGCCCCACAGTTGGGTAATTGATATCAACCAGTTGAAATTGATAGCGATCAAATCAAGACATTAATTGAGAGCAATCAATGTTCTACCACATGGGAAACAGCCAACATACTCATAACATCCAAGTCAGTGAAGCTACTAGCGAAAAGGAAAAATGCGTCTTTTACAGAAAAAACTTACGAACTTTTTGGCCCACCCAATACAATAAAGTACATAGACACTGTGGTAAAACCCTGAGTTTTCCTAAACCAAAACTCATAATTCTACAGCAGTTTTTTCCTCAGGGAATCTTCTCACAGGGCATGTTTCCTTCTCACAGTTTCCCTTTCCTCTTATTTGCCTTTCCCGAGGGTCTGTGGCTGCGGCTTTGCCCCTTGCCCTCAGCCCATAGCATGCTTTAACAATTTTTTTTCCTTTGTATTGCAACAAAATAAACATAAAATTGACTGAGCCATTATTAAGAGTGGTATCAAACATATTTATACTATTGTGTAGTCATTACCACCGTACATCTCTATGGCTCCTTTTATCTCGTAAAACTGAAACTATACCAGCGGTTTTCAACCTTTTTCACCTCGTGGCACACGTGAACTAATTACTAAAATTCTGCAACACACCAGCAAATACATTTTTGCCGATCCGCCAAATAATTACATATAATCTGGTGGATTTACAAAAAGAAATAATAATAGTAATTACTATTCCCTTTTTACTCCAAAATGTCTTTTTAAAAAAAACTCGTTGCCTATATTTGTATATAAGGACTTATGGTACCAAGAATTAGCCAATCAGATGCAACCTTATTATGCAATGTAACCAGAAAGATGCAACCCTATTATATGGCCCATACATGTATGGTTCAAGATGGAGCATCCACAGTGCAGTAATTGTTGTGTTGGCTGTTGTCTTGTTTGTTTGTTTTTTAAAGATTTTATTTATTTATTTTTAGACAGGGGAAGGGAAAGAGAAAGAGAGGGAGAGAAACATCAATGTGTGGTTGCCTCTTGCGCGCCCCCTACTGGGGGCCTGGCCCACAACCCAGGCATGTGCCCTGCACTGGGAATGGAACCAGCGACCCTTTGGTTCCCAGGCTGAGGCTCAGCCCACAAGGCCGCACAGCTAAGGCTGAGCTCTCTTGATGTTACCATATTTTGTTGATGACTTGTATTAATACACTCTATTTTATAGTGCTGTTTGATTTGTCCTCTGGCATTTTACAGCGGATTAAGAGAGCTGGCCTTGTCAGTAAAATAAAATGAAGTGGACTGAAATGAAGTGAGATGAGATGAAATAAAATAAATAAAAATAACGCATTAAAGTGCAGTGGGAGGGGCCGTCTGGGGGGCCCACCCTGGAGCGCTCAGGCCGCAAGCCCTTGGTCGTGGAAACGGGGCAGCGTAACCTTTGCACGGGGCTGAAAGCGGCCCTGTGTCCCGAACGGCCGTCTGCACGGGTGACAGGAAAGCAGATACGATGATGGGACCGAAAATTAGGTTATTCAGCATTAATGTCACTGTGTCATGTCATCTGCCCCATAGGAATGCCTTCTCTCTGGGTGTCATTGTTCCCCTCAGTAACAGTGAAGCGCTTCCTCTCCCTGGCAGCTTAGACACACACACGCCACAGACATGCTAATTAGCCGCAGGGATTGGCCGCAAGGCCTGAGCTGCATTTTTCAAAAATGCCGCACAAAGTAATGACTCGAGAGTGGGACTTGGATCACTGGGGGTCAACCAGGAACAACGGGATCGAGACATTTTCTGCTTTTCCTTGGAGCCCTTTGCGTTGTCTGGCTGTAAACAGTCCCCACCTTCTGTTCGCCTCATCCAGCCTCATGCTGTTATAGGAGACGCCTGACTCTTGAGCTCTCTTTTTTTATTTTTGTAAGATTTTATTTAGAGAGAGGGGAAGGGAGGAAGAGAGGGAGAGAAACATCAATGTGTGGTTGCCTCTTGAGCGCCCCCTAGTGGGGAACCTGGCCCACAACCCAGGCGTGTGCCCTGACTGGGACTCGATCCAGTGACCTTTCAGCTTGCAGGCTGGCGCTCAATCCACTGAGCCCCACCAGCCAGGGCTTGAGCTCTCTTAATATTACCAGATGGGGACCCAGCCTGGAGCAAGTCTGCCTGAGTGGTGTGTAGGTCCTTGACTTTGTGCAGGAAAGATGTCCCATCCCAAGTCCAGGTGATTCTGAGAGTATGTTAATTACAGCTGGGGACAGCGAAGAAGCGGCAGGGGAGAGCCAGGCGGGGCTGCTGTTAGCTCACAGGAGAGTCAGAGAAAATGGACCTCGGAGGCAGATTCAGGGAGGGAGCGCGGGACGAGCTGCCGCTGCCTGCTGCTCCCCTGGCAGCAAGTCTTGAGCTTGGGTGGGGGCACCTTAGAGTTTAGGAAAAAAAAGAGCCAAGATACGAGGTGTGGGCAGCCCCATGGGTCCTTTGTCTTGAGGGTTGTTTATCTTTCTTTGACCCCTGGAATCCTAGGGGAAGTCTCGCAGGGGTCACAACAGAATATCCATCAGCTTTCCAGGTGCGTCCTTCAATATGTTAACTCATCAGAATAAGTGCTTAGAGGGCTCAGGGTAATTTTTCGGCTTAGTTTTATTTTTCAAGAACATTGAAGAGGGATGGGCACCGAGGCCAGTCTGCCCCAGGAAGGTCTGGAATGTGTACCAGGGGCGGCATGCAGCCCAGAATGGCTGTGAATGCGGCCCAACACCAGATTGTAAATTTACTTAAAACTCTCTGAGGTTTTCTTGTGCTTACGTGTAGCACTGTGTTGAATGGGTGGCCCAAGACAACTCTTCTTCCAGCGTAGCCCAGAGATGCCAAAAGGTTGGACACCCCTGGAAACCATCCACTGCTAAGTATCCTTGGTTGGGGGAGATAAAACCTTGCGGTTCATTAGCTGGCTGTAAATTGCCCTGATTCTTTGGCCTGGTTTAATTATTTTGTCTCAGTGTCCCTCAGAGATGTCCCCTGGCTTCTTACTGTCCTGCCTCATTCAGATGGACTCGAGAATTAGTTCTCCCGTCTTCTTGAGCTGGACCTTCTTTACCTATAAGCCTTTCTTTTCTCCAAGCCTCTGATCTCTTAAATACTGTCCTTTCTCTCTCTCTCTCTCTCTCTCTCACTCTCTCTCTCTTTAAAGATTTTATTTATTTATTTTTAGAGAGTGGGGAAGAGAGAGAGAAAGAGAGGGAGAGAAACGTCGATGTGTGGTTGCCTCTCACGCGCCCCCTACTGGAGTCCCAGCCTGCAGCCCAGGCATGTGCCCTGACTGGGAGTCGAACCAGCGACCCTTTGTTTTTCAGGCCAGCACTCAATCCACTGAGCCACACCATGGATGGCCTTTCTCTTGAAGCATCAGGTACAGGAACCTTGGGCCTGTAATACAAATACACATCGCTTTTATCCTCTGATCGGAGTGCTGTTTGGGCTTCTGCCTGAGTCAGGGCTCCCTGGGTTCTGACTGATCCCAATACATGCTTGTTGCCACTCAGTTTGAAAGGCCTTTTTATTTTTTTAAGTTAGTGGCCTCATAGTGCAGGCTTGCTCCTGCCTCTGTTTTCATGCACAGCAGCCCCTCCTCACCTTGGGAGAGCCCTGCCCTCCCAGGCTGGTTCCAGGCCCACCTCCTCCTGCCCCTGATAGCCCCCGAACCCCCAACCCGCCTGATTCCCTCCTCCACACAGTTACTCAGAGCCCCTGGATCAATGCACAGGCGCGCGTTCCAATGTCACTCGTTGGCTCTTTCAGAGATGTTGTTGATTCCCTGCGCCACTCCCCAGGTCTCCTTGAGGGACAGACACAGAGCGGTACACGGGAGAAGAGGGCAGCCTGGGCCTCGCCGGGGTGTCGCCACCATGATGTCACCTCCTGTTAGCTCGGTGGCCTTGGGCTTACACTAGTCCTCCCAGAGGCTCAGTCTCTTTACCTGTAAAATGAGAATTAGAAAGGAAACAATCCCACCGTGGCTGGCGTGGCCCAGTGGATTGAGCACTGGTCTGCGAACCAAAGGGTCACCGGTTCGATTCCCAGTCAGGGCACAAGCCTGGGTAGCCAGCCAGGTCCCCAACAGGGGGCACAAGAGAGGCAAACACACACTGATGTTTCTCTCCCTCTCTTTCTCCCTTCCCCTCTCTAAAAATAAATAAATAAAATTTTAAAAAAATAGCCCAGTTTTCCCAACCCAAATTACATACTGATGTTGTACAAGAAATAAGAAAAGAAACATATTACCAGCCTTAAGATTGTAGATGTTTTATGAGGAACACATTTTTGTATTAAAAAAGTAATGTGATCGCATTTTCAATGTCTTGGGTATTAGAGAAAAGAAAAACAATCACTCAGCCATACTCCTACCATAATGCAGTTGCTATTAGCCTGTTGATTTTTTTCCTTGTTTGTGCATTTTCTCAGTGTATTTTAAGTGTTTGGGTCATGAATTACTTCTCATTATGTTAGCAATTTTCATATCCCACTTTCCTACTTAACATAGGTTTTTCAATTATTTGCTTTTAAAAATGAAGAAATGAGCCCTGGCTGGTATGGCTCAGTGGACTGAGTGCCAGCCTGCGAACCAAAAGGTCACTAGTTCGATTCCCAATCAGGGCACACGCCTGGGTAGCCAACCAGGTCCCCAGGAGGGGGCGCACGAGAAGCAACCGCACATTGATGTTGCTCTCCCTCTCTTCCCCGTTCTCTAAAAAAATATAAATAAAATCTTTTCAAAAAATTGATTTAAAAAGTGAGGCAATGATATTTTTATTTTCGCCAGTCACACAGCTTACTCTGGTATCTTTTATATCCCCTGAGGAACACAGCAGTGAGCTGTGTGTACATTAAGTGTATACTGGCTATGCATAGAGTTCATGTGGAAGTCCTGTTTGTATTGAAGAAGTTCGTGTTCAATACATTTCTAATCTTGCCACTCTTACAAACTAAAAAGTAAATAGAGCTATATAGAAAATGCGGCTTCATAGTGTCAACAATAAAAATTAAACAAAAAATAGAAAATGTGGCTTTTCTAAAGTAACTGCAATGAGTCGATACAGGTCACATGGTACGATTTCAACTCCGATTTCTCTTTTTTTACCTGAAGGTCCATTTTAGCCTCTTACCTTCTGAAGGAGAAGCTCAACATCTTGGGCAAGTTGGGGTGTCTGCTGAGCTGTGCGGGTTCTGTCGTGCTGATCATTCACTCCCCGAAGTCCGAGAGTGTGACCACGCAGGCCGAGCTGGAGGAGAAGCTGACCAACCCAGGTGACCCTTTCTCGCCGCCCCGGGAGCGCCCGCCGGTGCCCCGTGTGAGCCTCCAGGGGCACCGTGCGGCCTCCCCAAAACCCTTTGCGGTCCTGTGCAGAGCGCCCGGCCTCCCACCCCCGCGCCTTCCTGCTGCGTCGACCCGCATTGGGGACCACGTGTGTCCCGGCCCCGCCTCCCCCGCTCTCTGACGCTCTCTCAGAGCCGTAACCCCATTTGATTTATCTTCACATCGCCCACAGGGGTCCCGCTCTTTTTCCTGTGTATTTTTGATGTACAGCAACGTATTTTTTTTTTTTGACAAATGCAGCGCAAAACCAATAATCTGCATAATTATACTGGTCTTAAAGTATAGGGGTTTTTTTTTTAAAGATTTTTTTAAGGGTGTTGTTCAGCAATTGCCTCGTGTTGTGTGTTTTATTAAGATTTGATTTATTTATTTTTAGAGAGGGGAAGGGAGGGAGACCGAGAGGGAGAGAGACATCCATGTGCGGTTGCCTCTCGCGCGCCCTCTACTGGGGACCTGGCCTGCAACCCAGGGATGTGCCCTGCGCTGGGAACCGAACCAGCGGTCTTGCTGTTCGCAGGTCGGCGCTCATTCCACTGAGCCACCCCGGCCGGGGCTGGGATGCATTTTGACCCAGTGGAGCTGTCCGCACATCGCTGGGCCCCAGCCCCTGCCCGTGGAGTGCAGTCCTCCTCAGTCACCAGCCCTCCCCCGGGTGCTTTCCCAGCATCTCCCCCTGCCCCGCCCCCCGGCCATGCACACACAGGGGCGCCCCCTGCCGGGCCTGCCCAGCTGCGTCTAACGCGGGGCGACGCGTGTTTTGCAGTGTTTGTGGGCTACCTGTGCATCGTGCTGCTCATGCTGCTGCTGCTCATCTTCTGGATCGCGCCGGCGCACGGGCCCACCAACATCATGGTCTACATCAGCATCTGCTCCCTGCTCGGGAGCTTCACCGTGCCTTCCACCAAGGGCATCGGGCTGGCGGCGCAAGACATCTTCCACAACAACCCGTCCAGCCAGCGCGCCCTCTGCCTGTGCCTGGTGCTCCTGGCCGTGCTTGGCTGCAGCATCATCGTCCAGTTCAGGTACATCAACAAGGCGCTCGAGTGCTTCGACTCCTCCGTGTTCGGGGCCATCTACTACGTGGTCTTCACCACGCTGGTCCTGCTGGCCTCCGCCATCCTCTTCCGGGAGTGGAGCAACGTGGGCCTGGTGGACTTCCTAGGGATGGCCTGCGGCTTCACCACCGTCTCCGTGGGGATCGTCCTCATCCAGGTGTTCAAAGAGTTCAACTTCAACCTGGGCGAGATGAACAAGTCCAATGTGAAGACAGACTAGGAGGCAGCGGGGCTTGGCTGGCGCGAGGGACGGGAGGACTTGGTAGTGGCTTCTGGTCCTAACGTCACGGGAAGGACAAGAGACCCCACATCGCTGGTACTAGAGTTGCTCGTCTATCAGGGTGCGGTCAGGTGGGCAGTGGGGGGCATTGCCCGGCCCTCTGCCAGCCTGAAGTCGCCACACGGTCGCCTGGGCGTCATCTCTCTGATGAGAGGAATCTCATGTTCATTGCCATGGCCCTGGAAGCTTTCACGAATACCCTTTCCTTTAAAACATTTCACTGTTATTTAAGTAGAAAACAGAGAGGGGCTCGGTGTGCTTAGTCTTTGCAGGGCGGCGGATGTTCTTCCTGGGAAGATGCTTGGGACGTGGGGGACAGCGTCCTGATTCTAACTTTGTACAGTAAATGCATCTGTAGCTGTGTTCTTTTGCGTTCAGCCTGTATAACCTCGCCCAATGAAGAGGTATATGCATTTAATCGTTTTTAATCCTCTGATGAGCTGACCGTCCCTCCCCCCCCACCACCCCGACCCAAGGCTGCGGTTGAAGAGAGCGGCGTGGCCGCGCAGACCGGGCTCCATTTCCCGGACTTTCAGTAGCTTCAGTCGATCTCAGTGCCTTTATCACTTGAACTATTCACTTAATTTGACTATGACTGTGTGTCTGTTCCCTTAGTTTAGCGCAACACAGCCTCCTTGACTATGACTTTAATATTTCACTGTTCAACACGTAAAGGCATAAAGCGGTTATGAGTAACAGTAGATGCATTGGTTGGAAGAGAGTCAAAACTGAGGACACGTTAGAATCAACCCCATTAGCATGTATTGTCCAATGAAAGGCAGTTGCTCTTCATAGCATGAGGTGTTTTATTTGCATTCAATCCATGTAACTGGGATCCAGTATCAAATATACCCACGTTCTCTTTCAGTGACCACTGCAGCCACGCAAAAGAAAGAAATTATTGAACTTGATCATCAGGCTGTGACAGGAGGGGGTGACACCCCAGGGGCACATGTATCCAGGTCCCTGGGGTACAGGGACAAGCCAAGGGCCATGAGCAAACTGAGGCTTGTCAAACCGGAACACACACAGGGACACGCAAAGGAGTCTCTTTTGCAAAAATGGAAACAATTCATTTAGCCAGTTTCCTGTTGGAGCTGGCAGCATACCCCATGGTTACCCAGCTCTCATTAAACTTCTGAAACGCAGAAAAGCCACGCATTCCACCAGTATTTTGATCAAAGAGACCATTCGTCCGTCTAGAGTAACCTCGCATGTGTATTCAAGGGAACAAAGCATAGAGTGATGTTTCATTTCATCAAGATAACGTGTGGTTCGTGTGCAGTGTTGTTGCTGAAGCAGAACGTGGAATCTGATAATACCCAATTAAAGTTATTCACTAAAGATAAAAGTACTCTTTTCCGGCCAAAAAAAAAAAAAAAGGACGTTTCTGAAGTGTTGAACAAAGAAGGCTGTGCTTTAACAGAGTGAAGGGCACATTTATGAGTTAAAAGTACACAGGATGATAGTGGGTAGTCAGGGTTAGTGAACTAAGAGCAGCAACAAAATTATTTAAACATTAAATATATATATATATATATATTTACTGATAGTTAATAAATGCTCCAAAAGTTCCTCACTCTTTTTATCAGCTCTCGGAGGCTTGTCTTTTAATCAGTATTTTAAGGAATGCAGGCCTTAATTTATTAACCTTTCTGAAAATATAATGTAGCAGTGTTAGCATATATTTAGGCATAAAACTAGTTTCCCAGGTAAGGATCCTTGTTTGAGAAATTGAAAGGATACACGTGGCATTACACTTAGAAGTTATATAGAAGTTACTGTTTTGTCTTTTTGTTACAACTTATATAGGAAGCTTAGTTGAAATGCATCTGTTCACGTTCCTTTTTCTATTTTCATTCACGATTATAACCACAGATACTCAGAGGAGACATTTTCAGGAGAATCATCCCTATGATTTGTTTTGAGGGTAAAACAGAATCTCGAAGTATTAATAACTCGCCTCCCTCTGAAGGTGGCTGGGCCCAGCCCCGCTGGGCTCCCAGGTTCCCATCTGGTCAACTGATTATTTTGGTCAGATGCGCAGCTTTCCTTTTAGTGGCACCAAGTTCATGTCGCCCCTCGTATTTCACGTGCGGGACTCCACCCTCAAAGCAATGGACGTGACCAGAGGTCTAACAGCCTAATTGTCAAGTTTGACTTCCGACTTACCCGTATTTAACCTTCTTTTTATTTATTTATTTTTATTGTTCCAATACAATTGTCTCCATGTAACCGTATTTCTCTTACAGATTCATGCATTCGTAATTCATTTGGAATGGCAAAGGAAAGGAAGTCTGGAAGCGAGAGTTTTAGGGGAGGGGCTCGTGGTTAAAACTCAGCAAAACACCTACCGTGTGCTTGTTGTCGAACCTCCTCGAATCGTGTTTGTGATCACAATATGCAGATTTACTGTGGGTGGATACTTAAATAGGCATTTCTCTCCTCTCCTCACTTGGACGATGCCTTATTTTCTCATCAGAATCTTGGCATTTGAAAAGATTGCTCACCGATCAAGTGTAGAGCCGGTTCAGGGTTCCGACCCAAACCCAGCACCGAGACCACCCTGGGCGCTGTTCTGTCCCACAGGGCGGTTCCATTCCTGCAGAGAAGGTTCTGGGGACTCGGGGCGGGGCGGGGGCGGTCAGCCCCCAGCCGTGCGTGCGGGCGAGACCGGCCCACCGTGGAAACTTCAGGGAGGACCACCGCCCAGATGTCACTATGGTCTTTTTACTGCTCCCGTTTTAGCAATAAGAAATACTCAATTCCTACCTTTCCAGCCAGTGTGTCATGGTTTTATTTGCACAAGTCCATTCCAGCAGTAGCAGGTCGGTCTTTGTTCTTTCTCTGGGTCTCACGTCTGATAGAAAAGAGCGCGCTCACCTCTCGTTGTCCTTCTTGGCGGTTCAGCTCTTTGTAGGTACTGGGCTCACTTCTGGGGGCCGGTTCCCAGACAGGTATAAAGCGCTGGAGGTGCGGTGTCTCCCAGGCGTGGATGACCACATCCGGCCCCGGGACCCGGGAGACATTCCTCTTGTCCAGACTCCTCAAGAAGAGCCCAGCCCACGCTCTGATCGCCTGCCCGTCACCCCCGCGGCTTTTCTGATGTGTCCCTGATCCTGGCTTGGGCCTCCTGTGACTGAGTAGGAAAGAGGAGACCTGCTTCCGTTTATCTCTGTCCCCGAATGCCTGCGGCCTGAAGGAGTGGTCCTCACTGCGTTGTCCTACACCAAGGACAAAGGTCGCCCACCGAGCGGGATGAGATGGAGTCTTGGCGTTCCGCCTTCTCAGGGACCAAAAACGCAACATTAACTCTTTAGCATGGACTTGATGTGTCTGTGTGAGTTTTTCACGTGTGTTATCTTCATGGCTGGAGGCCTGTGAACGTGAGCCGGAAAGGGGAAGGATCGTTCACACACACCGGTCACACCATAAAACGGTTTCTCATATCAAATACCTCAATTTTCTCTATTCCTCACTTCCACCTCACATTTGTACTGCTGATGAACTTCAAGGGTCTGTCCTGTAGCTTTTAGGTGACTTCACATCCGGCCGGATTCTTACACCTCCTCTGTATACTCGGAAAGCCTAGGAACGGTAGTGAGGGGAGAAAGGATTTGGCCCTATCTCATGACGCCTTTCCTTTCATGCACATTTCTCCCATGCTCGCAAATGCAACAAAAGAATTCTATTTGAAAGAAAATGTAACTTTGTGACATCAAATAATCATCTACTAAAAAGTTGCTACTCCGTAGAATAAGGCTCTTGTAAATAACATCTATTTCAAATGTACCCAATAGGATCAGACGTACGCCAGGGCCCCGATCATGACCAGGGAGAAGGATTTATTTGTTCTTTTCTCTCTTTTTTTTCTTGAATTGTGCAACTCTAGGTGAGTCACTTTACCTTTCTGTGCCTCAGTTTCTCTACCTCCAATGGGTTGGGATGGTTCTCCACATCGACTGTCCGAGGGTGCTTGTACTTGAGCCCATGTCGGCGGCCTTGGGTGACACTGTCACGAGCGGGATGGCCCGGGAGTGACCGGGGGACCCTCGGCTTGTCTGGGTCTCCTGTCTGCTCAGGGCCCGGCTGTGGACGCGCCGCCTCAAGCGCTGATTAAGCAAGGGGAGCGCTGGGTGTGAAGTTTGCATAATTCCATGAAGTTTCTTTTTCCATTCCGTTTGTTTTCAGAGGAAGGATTTTCTATATGCTATTGTAAAACAGGGGGATTAAACAGGGACTTTGAAAGCTGCACTGAATGGTCACACTCCGACCGGGGCGATGCGCATCTTTGGCGTCCTGCGTAGGTTTATGTTTTGCGGGAGATTCAATGGCTTGTGAACCAGATTGATTCTTCTGTGTTAAATCTGTCACGAACGATGCTGAGCTTCGGGCTTTCCAGCAGCTCAGCCCCGAAAGCGAACCGCCTGCCGCCGGGTGAAGGTCAGGCGTTCGTGAACCACTAGTGCCAAAGGGTCACATAGAAAAGTTCCATATTTTATTTGTCAGGCTAGACTAATTTGCCCCCCACCTTCAAGTCGGTATTTTTGCACTTTGGAAAAGTTTAAGGCTGCTGTTATGAAGGACCATTCCTGAGTCTTTTTGGTTAGCTGTTACACTCTTGCAAAAGGGAATATAATCATGAAAGAGAGGAAGAAGATGACATAAAAAATGTAAAACGCGGATGGGCTGCATCAGAATTTTTTCACGTAAATGTACCGGGAGCTTCCAATGACCACGCACACACATTTGTCAATGGCTAAGATTTGCTTATATTTTGCTGTATAGAAGTAGTCATAGCATGTAATTGCCTTATGTAAATAAATAGGCTATTTGTTAAGTTTTCCAATATTTATTAATCTGTATGTGTTTTAAAATAAAATAACATTTCTAGCTGAACACTCGTTTGTTTTCCCTTTTGTCTGAAATGGTTGTGTCGTCTCAGGTTTCATATCATTTTAGTTCCTCATCACGTTTCCCATTTTCTTTGTAGAAACGAGCAGCCCCCATCCCGATGTAGAAAATGCCCATCTGTGCTCATCTTAGGGGGGAAATCTACGATACGTAATGGAATTCACCAGTCCTGCCTGGGTGGCTCAGTTGGTTGGAGCATTGTCCCGTAAACTGAAAGGTTGCAGGTTCGATCCCCGGTTGGGGCTCGGGCCAGAGGTAACTGATCAATATTCCTCTCTCACATCGATGTTCCTTTCTCTCTCTGTCCTCTCTCTCTCAACTCAATAAGCATATCCTTGGGTGAGGATTAAAAAAAAAAGGCTGCTCTCTCTTTTTTTTTTTAATAAAAGGAATTTGCTAGATAGTGGTTACTTTCTGATACAATAAAATGATGGTATTAAAGAAAACCACCTATATTTTAATGTTAATCCCTTTTACATAATTTTGAAGTGTATGACAGCATTCTATTTTAAGCGCAAAGAAAATTAGAGAATTAGAATGCATTGAATATTCTGTCATCAGAAATATTGGCGTTAATATTTTTATTTTAAATCATTTTTAATTTTTTAATTACAGTTCACATAAAATATTATATTAGTGTTAGGTGTAAACCTGTTATTAGACATTATGTAGACACTAAATGATCATCCCAATAAATCTTGTGCCCATTTGCCACAATACCTACTTATTAGAATATTACTGACTCTATTCCCTATCTTGCACCGTACATGCCCGTGACTATTCTGTTCCTACCAATTTATCCTTCTTAATGCTTCACCCTTTTCACCCAGCCTCCAGCCCCCTCCCATCTGGTAACTATCAAAATGTTCTATGTATCTATGAATCTGTTTCTGTTCTGCTTGTTCATTTATATAGTTTTTTACATTCAATTATTGCCATTTTGTTCATATTTTTTATCTTTTTTTTTTTTTTCCTGTCTCTTCTTAGAAAAGATCCTTTAGCATTTCATGTAATACTGGCTTGGTGGTGAGGAACTGTTTTAGCTTTTTCTTGTCTGCGAAGCTCTTTATCTGTCCTTTGATTCTAAATGATAGCTTTGCTGGATAGAGTAAATCTTGGTTGTAGGTCCTTGCTTTTCATCACTTTGAATATTTCTTGCCAATCTGTTCTGGCCTGCAAAGTTCTGTTAAGAAATCAGCTGACAGTCTTACAGGAATTTCCCTGTAGGTAACTATCTGCTTTTTTCTTGCTACATTTAAGATTCTCCCTTTATCTTTAACCTTTGGCGTTTTCATTATGATGTGTCTTGGAGTGGGCCTATTTGGGTTCATCTTGTTTGGGACTCACTGTGCTATCTTTCACCAGATTAGGGAAGTTTTTTGTCATTACTTTTTAAAATAGGTTTTCAAATTCTTGCTCGCTCTGTTCTTTCGACACCCTCATGATGCAAATGTTGGTACACTTGAAGTTGTCCCAGAGGCTCCTTACGCTATCCTCATTTCTTTCAATTCTTTTTTCTTTTTGATGTTCTGATTGCGTGTTTTGTGGTTTTTTGTTTTTTGGGGGTTTTTTTGCTTCCTTATATTCCAAATCACTGTTTTGACTCTCGGCTTCATCCCTCTACTGTTTGATTCCATTCAAATTTTCTTCATTTCAGTTAGTGAATCCTTCATTTCTGACTGCTTTTTTATGGTTTCCATGCCCTTTTTTATGTTGTTGAAATTCTCTCTCAAGTTCATCTACTTTTCCCCTAAGCTCATGGAGCATCCTTATAACCAGTGTTTTGAGCTCTGCATCTGATGGATTGCTAGGCAAACACAGGGAGGCTGTCAAAATGAGGAGACAAAGTAACATGTCCCAAATGAAAGAACAGAACAAAACTCTGAAGTCTTTTCTGGAGTTTTGAGGAGTGCCTGGGAGTCCAGAAGCCTCTGTCTCACTCAGCCGAAGTCCCCTCTGGTTTTAACAGCCAGAAGTGATGGGGGATTCTCTTCCTGGCACTGGAACCCTGGGCCGGGGAACCTGGTGTGGGGCTGAGACCTCTTGTGAGACATCTCTTCCTATTTTTATCTGCCCCACATGGGTGTGGGGCCAGCCCTTCTGCATCTCTGACCCTCTTACCTGTCTCGATGTGGCTTCTCTATATCCTTAGTTATAGGACTTCTTTTCAGCTGGATTTCAGGCGGTTCTGAAGCGTAGCCGTTCTTCAGTATAGCTCGATTTTGATGTCATTGTTAATCTTTATTAGTGTCCTCTAAGGCATTTCACTAGGTAAAAAAAATTTTAATCTATCAACAATTTTTACCAATAAATTATTTTTTGTAGTAATTAGATACATTTTAATTGTATTTTTTAAATATCTCAATTACAGTTTCTATTCAATATTGTATGAGTTTTCGGTGTACAGCATTGTGGACAGACAATAATACCCTTTATGAAGTGTTTCCCTTGATATTTCAAGTACCCCCCTGGCACCATACACAGCTATTATCATATTATTGACTGTATTCCTTGTGCCCTACTTTACATCCCCGTGACTGTGACTGTTCTGCAGCTACCGATTTGTCCTTCTGATTTCCTTCCCCTTTTACACCCAGTTCCCCAACCCCCACCTTCTCTCGCAACTGTCAATCTTCTGTGTCTTTGTGTTTGTTTCTGTTATTTTCTTTTATTTGTTCGATTTCACATCATATAAATGAAATTATATAGTGTTTGTCATTTGCTGTCATTTGTCATTTACCTCCTGACTTCTTCTTCTTTTTTTTTTTTTTACTTGGTTATGACATTTATTTCCATACACATTCCTTTCTCCACAGAATGCCCGTGACTCTCATAACTGCTGATGTACAAAGTTTGCCCCAGAAATCAGGTTAACAGATTCTTATGTCTGTATCTAATTAGTAAAGAGAGCAAAATTCTAAACCATACTGAGTCCAGACTGGAAGAAGAGGCAAAAGCAGAAGCTTCTTATGTAATATGAACGTTTGTACCTCCTGGCTTCTTTACTCAGCACATTTTGTGGCAAATGATAAGATTCCATTAAGATATATATACCATTTATACAGTATATATATCTTACATATACGATATATATGAATATATCATATATATCGTATATACCATATATACCGTATATAGATCTATATATCTATATGCAATATATACCGTATTTTGCTGTGTATAATGCCTGCTCACATTTTTGGCCCAAACTTTCAGGAAAAGAGTCTTTTGTTTTAATTTCTTAATTCAGTTTTTTATTGATTTATATTTAAATAATTTTTTGTATTGTAAAGGAATTTTAGCATTTATTTTTGAACAGATGGTACAAGAAATTTTATATAACAAATCATTACAAAGTACAAGAACAGAAACAAAGTATTTCAGGGACCACCCATGATAATACACATCCTTATTTTTCCCCTCAAAAATTTGGGCAAAACGTGCGCATTATACGTGGCATAATATGATGTGTGTGTGTGTGTGTGTGTGTGTGTGTGTATATATATATATATATATATATCACTACTACATTGATAGGCAATTGGGTTGCCTCTGTATCTTGGCCCTTGTAAATAACGCTGCAATGAACATCGGTGTGCACGTATTCTTTTAAATTAGTGTTTTGAGTTTCTTCAGATAAATACCTCAAAATGGAATTGGTCATAAATCAGTTCCTTTTTTAATTTTTTGAGGAAGCGCCATCTGTTCCCACAGCGGCTGCACCCGTCTGCATTCCCACCAACGGTGAACGAGAGTTCCCTCTTCTTCACATCCTCACCAGCACTTGTTTTTTGAAACAAAATATTTTTTTCTTAGGCTCTATCCAAAAAGATTTAATTAGCCCTGGCTGGTGTGGCTCAGTGGATTGAGTGCCAGCCTGTGAATCAAGGGGTCGCCAGTTCAATTCCCAGTCAGGGCACATGCCTGGGCTGCAGGCCAGGCCCTCAGTAGGGGGCGCATGAGAGGCAACCACACATTGATGTTTCTCTGTCTCTCTCTTTCTCTCTCCCTTCCCCTCTCTGTCTAAAAATAAGTAAATAAATAAACAAACAAAAATAAACAAAAACCCCACACATCACCGGCACCTGCTCAGGACCAGGTCCCTTCTCCGGAAACAGCCTGACACAGCAAATTCTTCAAGCCTACCTGTTCCAAAAGTCCACCTTTTCACACAAGTCTTCCCTGTCCCCAGCTTATAAAAGCAGCCAAGAAAGGCCAGCCCCAGAGCCAGTTCAGAAACCCTTCCTTTCCCTCTGCTTGAGCATGAGCTTCATAAAATCTCTCTGGAACTTTCCATGCGGTTTCCTCTCAATTTCTATCTTGGGAACCCAAGAAGCCTAAAGCTGGTCACAACTCTGCCTATCACATCCGCTCACCATTTCATCAACAGAGACAGTTATTAACAGCCAACTCCGGGCTTTTACTGAATACCCTACTGTTCTACCTAAATTCACTTCGAATTACTACTACCTTTTTCAGACAGTTCATCCCCCTCCAACAAAGGTTTTGGAACATTCCCTAATACATTTGTAGGTCACATATAGCCTTGAATAAACTAATTAGTATTAACTGAAAAATATTTACATAAGAATAACCTTTTAAAATGCCAGAGAAAACCACTATTCATCTTGCAAGGATGGAGGGCAAATATAAGAAGTGATGGGGTTATACTGTTGTCATGCTTCCGTGGCACATGACGTAACAAAACCAAAACATACAGGAGTAATTGACTAACAACTTGTACATGAGAAAACTATTTGATTCACTAATATTCTAAGTCATAACACCATTGATGGGTTCTTGGAACTGCAGGAAAATGATGTATAATGAAACAATTTTCACCACAGGTTAAATTGATACAAACAAGAGTTAAGTTTCTATGACATCTCCTCAATGTTAAATGAAAACATTGAACAGAATGACGTTATTTTAACATGATTTTTTAAAAAATACTGTTTTAATAAGAGGTTTTGCCTAAGAACGGGCTGGAAAGAAGTATTCCAAGTCATGAAAGGCCAAAGGCCTACATCCATTACTCTATCTGGCAAAGCTATTATTGAGAACGGAAGGGCAGGTAAAGCGCTTCCCAGACAAGACGTCATTTCTGCTGCCCTGCGGGAGCGTGTTGCTGTGAATCTGTCTCCCGTCAGCGCAAGGAATTCGTAGGACTTTGAAGAAAGCAGAGGCGCCAGCGCGTGGTACCCAAATCTCACTCTTACGGGAGATTTTTAAATAAAGATTTTATTTATTTATTTCTGGAGAGGGAGAAAGAGGGAGAAAGAGCGGGAGAGAAACATCAATGTGCGGTTGCATTTAGTGCGCCCCCTGCTGGGGACCTGGCCTGCAACCCAGGCATGCGCCTTACACTGGGAACTGAACAGGCGACCGTTCGGTTCGCAGGCCCGCGCTCAATCCACTGAACCACACCAGCCAGGGCAGGGGTTTTGATCTTGATGTCTTCTCAATGCCCACCTTGGAAAAAAAAAGAGCAGGGTGCCAAACAGTTCGAGTCCTTTGCCAGCTAAATTGCCCGTGTGGGTGTCCCAGCAAGAGAAGGCTGGGGCCGTTAACGTAGAGCTACTCCAGGTTAACACTAGGCCCACTACCTCCCCTGCGCCTCCCCCGCCGTTTGTGCATAGTTTGATCCCGATCTCATAATGGAGACTGTTACGACCAATGCTCAATTATGACAAAGCTATAACAGCAGCTTGGGCACTGCTTTGGCTCCTGGATCCTGTCTAAAAGTGAGCAGGGCTTATTATTAATGTAAATAAAATCTGAAAATCAAAAGAATAAATAAATAAAAATAAAAAGGAGAGAAGTCTTGCCCTGCCTATACTTCTATGACAATGACAGAGAATTAGATTTTTAACAGCTTTAATGAAGAATAATCAACACACAATATACTGCACATATACAAAATATCCAGTCTGGTAAGTTTTAAAAAAAGTATTTTATTTATTTATGTTTAGAGGGGGAGGAAGAGAGGGAGAGAAACACTGATGGTTGCCTCTCACATGCCCCCAACTGGGGACCTGGCCCACAACCCAGGCGTGTGCCCTGACTGGGAATCAAACCAGCGACCCTTTGGTTCATAGTCCGGCACTCAATCCACTGAGTCACGCCAGCCAGGGTATATTTCTTTTTTCTTTTTCTTTTTGGTTAGTACAAATAAAGCTGCTATTGAATAATTTCTTATAAGTATTTTAAAGGATATGTGCTTTCATTTCTCTTGGGTAGATACCTAGGGGTAGAAGAGCTGGGTCATATGGTTGGTATACATTTAACATTTTATTAATTTTTTAAAATGGACAGATACTGGATTTAAAAAAAAAAAAAGATTTTACTTATGTATTTTCAGAGAGAAGGGAAGGGAGGGAGAGAGGAAGAGAAACATCAATGTGTGGTTGCCTCTCGTCCTCTCGCAGCTGGGGACCTGGCCGGCAATCCAGGCATTGGGTCTGACAGAGAACCGAACCAGTGACCTTGCAGGTCCCAGGTCAGTGCTCAATCCACTGAGCCACACCAGCCAGGGCATGTTTAACATTTTCAGAAACTGCCAAGATGTTTTTCTAAACAAGTTGTGCCATTTTACACTTCAACCACCAGTGTCTAAAAAGGAATTAGATTTTTTAATGTTTTAAAATATCTCATGATCAGTGCTTGAGTATCCACAGTGTGTAAGATGTGATCATCACATGATTTCAGCATTTAGGGAGCTTGTACCAGCCCTGGCTGGTGTGGCTCGGTGGACTGAGCATTGGCCTGTGAACCAAAGGGTCATTGGTTCGATTCCCCGTTAGGGCACGTGCCTGGCTTGTGGACCAGGTCTGCAGTAGGGGGCGCGCAAGAGGCAACCTCGCATTGTGTCTCTCCCTCTCTTTCTCCCTCCCTTCTCCCTCTCTAAAAATAAATAAAATCTTAAAAAAAAAAAAAAAAAGCCTGTACCATATTAAGAAGGTGCATTAGATATATTAACGGAGAAACCCAGTTCTTGCCGAAGCAGTAAAGAATTACAGATCAGCAAGACTATTAGCATGCAGGCTGGGTTTATTGGTGATATGCTCTCCTGGAAGAGAATGGGCCTCGCTGAGGTGGGGAGAAAGGTATCTGTTCAGGGCGGGGCAAGGTAAAGGGTGGCAAGAGCCCCAGATCCTTTGTCCTGAGGATTTACATAGTAGGCAGGTTGGGGGTTAAGAAGTTATATATTGATTGACAGGTGGGTAAAGGTGGTGCCAGCTTTCCCGGGGGTGGGGGCGTGACTACCCAGATGTTGGTACATGTGGGGATCTGTCAGTCCAAATCCTTATCTTGGTCCAGACCCCATTTGTTCATCTTGGTGTAAAACAGATCCGTGACAGGAGGCAGTTAATTAAAGTTGGCGCAGTCACCCAAAGTTATTTGTGGGCTCTTTCTGTAAGCATGAGGGACTCCCTCATAAAACCGGTAGTGACCAGGGGTAGGCAGTAAGCCAAAGTTGTTTTATGGGCTCCTTCTTTGGGCACTGTGGACCCCTTCCTCTTCCCCCTTCTAGGCCTTGGGTTGAATACACAGTGAATACACAGTTTCAAAAGCTTTCTTTCCCAGATAGTGGAAACGCTACATGGAATTTCAAGGACTGCCCTCCTCCGAAGCTAACATGGTGTTTCTTGTGACATAGGGACACCTGGCAATATTATCAGACCAAGTTCAGGACGCAGGGTTAGTGGCTGAGGCATGTCTCCCTCCTCCTCCCTGCCTAGGTTTACTACCTATCCTACCTAAGCGCTCAAAGGTGTTTCCTGGCAACCAGGATGCTAGACGCTGACCAGCATCAGCAGCGCAGTCTGAGTGTTTCCAAGTGCTTCCTATGCTGTCTCGAGCCTCGGATACACTTGTGAAAACAATGCGCTGTGCAATAGCAGTGGCAGGTGGGAAGCCCAGGTAGTGAATGTGAAGGAATCTTCAGTGATGTGAGTGGACCGCTATGATGAGAGAAAGCTGATTATCTGAGGAAGGACTTAGCTGGGCTGATTAGAACACTTGCAGAGTAGAGCTGCAAGCAAATTCATTTGTTAGGTTAAATTAACATAACTTATTTTTTTAATTGTATTTATTAATTTTTAGAGAGGGGAAGGGAGAGGTAAAGAGAGGGAAACATCAACGTGGGGTTGCCTCTCGTGCGCCCCCTACTGGGAACCTGGCCTGTAACCCAGGCATGTGCCCTGACTGGGAGTTGAACCAGCGACCCTTTGGTTTGCAGGCCAGTGCTCAATTCACTGAGCCACACCAGCCAGGGCTTAAATTAACATAATTTCTAAGATTCTCATTCAGACAAACCAAACACGGCATTCATTACAATCATCTGCCTCCTAGAGGCATCTGTTGGGATTTGAGTGACTTATGCCTACAGCCCACCGATCACAAAGTGAGTGGTTTAAAACAACAATCATTTATTATTGACTCATATGTCTGTGAGTTAACAGTGCAGTTTTGTGGACCTCAACCAACCTGGCTTTCTCAGGGCTCATCAATCTCTGGTCTCTGAACAACAGGGTGGTTCAGCTGGGTGGCTTTACAAGTTGCTCTGCTCCACAGTGATCCTCCAGCAAACTAGCCCAGGCTTCTTCTCATCATGATTTAGGTGGGAAACCGCCACATTTTCTTGGCCAAAGACAGTCTCAAGACTAAGGCAGATGGAGTGGAGCTGCGAAGTCACTCTGCTAAAGGTATGGATGGGTAGATAATCGGAGCCATTTTCCACCAATGAGACCCACTTACCCTTTTGCAACATTCATTGTAATTCCTTATTTGACCTGTCATCTAGCTAGAATTCGGCTGACGCGAATGATGTACTCAGAAAAGGTCCTCGGAGCCTGTTCTAAAATGCAGTTGTCTTGGGGGATAAAGGGGGGAAAATTGAGACAACTGAAATAGAATAAAAATGATTTATAAATTAAAAAAATAAAATAAAATGCAGTTGTCTGCTTGTCAAGCTCCAGGGTAAAAGCTTTTAAATTAAAAGCTACACAGTTATCTATACCAAAACCAGAGGGGTGGGGGCTGTGTAGTCTAAAACAGTCCAATTGGATTATAGCCTGAAAAGAGCAAATTAGATTTGGCACTTTCTGGTTGAATAAGTATATAATTCATTTTAGGAAGATTCCCACCCAAAATGGAATCGTTTAAATTTCGTAGAGATTTTCTATGTAGTCAAAAACCAGAACATCCCCAAAGCATCCTCGAACCTGTAACCAAGGTATTACTGATTTGGAGAAGCCAAGGCGGGATAGCCTAACAGTGGGTTTCCTATGTATTTCATGAAAAATATCTCGGCTCCAGGTGTCTCGAAAGGCGCTTTTAGCACACTACAATCTCCTACAGAACGCAAGTCCAGGAGTCGATCCAAATGAAAAGGCCCCACCCTGAGCCAAGCCCCACCCCGCCCGCCCCGCCCCGCCCCGCCCCTAGCATTTAGTCCCTTCCCTCCGCGTTTCTCGACACGCCCCGGCCTCCAGGCCCCGCTCCCCAGCACTTGGCCCCGCCCCTGCGTTGCCTTGGCCACGCTCCTTGCTCTCTTCGAAGACCGCTACCCTAGGGGATGGCTAGAACATCGCTTAAAGCGCCTTTCACACATTGACCGCGCGTTGGAGATCGCATTTTAAGCGGCACACGGTACTTTGATTTTCACCACTTGGTAGGCGGACGCTGCCTTGCAACACGTTGCTTCCAATACGTCTCCCCACCGGCTCCAGCCCCGCCCCCTGCGTCCCCGCTACCAGGGCCTCGTAAAGAAACCGGAACTCAATCGGACCGCGCGCCGGGGTCGCAGCGCCTGCCGCGCTGCACGGCGCCTGCGCGCGCCGCCTATTGCGTCACTCGGCCGCGCCCAGGCTCTCCTCGCGTTGCTCATTGCTACCGGTAGTCGCCGGGGCCGGAGGTTGTTCAGGGCAAGTTGCCCTCGGGGCTCCCCCATGGAGGAGACAGTGCTTGCGGCCGCAGCCCCGGATGCTTGTACCTCCCACTGGACGGCGACGAGGGTGCTGGCCGCGCGAGCGCAGGAGAGGTCGGGCCGCACGGCCTGTGGGAGGGTTTGAGCGGAGGTGAGCAGAGCCGGGCACCGGAGGGGAAGCCGCGCGGTCACCTGCCTGCCGGGGTGAGATTGCCACTCCCTTTCCCTTTCGGACAGCGCGAAGGGGCTGCCTGTGGGCGAGCCTTCTCTGGGGCTGGGGATACGCTTCGTGGGCGCCTTTCTTTGCCCCGGGACACTGAGCCGGGTGTGTTCTGAGATGGAGGCGATTTTCCTCGTTACCTGCATCGAGGAATCCCGCCGTGGATCGGGTGCCGTGGAACGCCACGGAAACCTGGCTTGGCCCTCAGCGCGCGTGCTGTTAAGTCCATTAAAACAGTTCCCTTTTGTTGTGCTGAGTGTTAGAAGATTGTAGCTACTGCCGAGAGGCTGGCAGTCGCACAAGCCTTCAGAAATCTGCTGAGACCTTATAAAACAGGCTGTTTTAATTTCCCAACTCCTATTATTACCTCACCGAATCCTCTTTCCCGCTCCATACAACTGTTCAAAATTCTGTATACGTTTAGTTTTGCATTTGTGTCTCTTCGATCTCTTTACTAGCTTTTTCGATTCGTTTAATACAAGATTACGTCTTCTGTTTCTAGAAACTATAAACTATGTGCTTGGTATTATTTTTTAGTAATAAGAGGATATATGAGAGAGCATAGATCTTTGTTTCATGGAGGTTAGTAACCAAATTTTAAAAAGTAGTAACTTTTTAGTCTTTTTGCCTACTTCTATATTCCCTTCTTTGCAGGCCAGAGCTACTCTGCCAGGGTTTATAAACTTAAATGATAATTGCAGGTATTATTTACAAGGAAATGAGTCATCTCCTACTTTTTCCAGTCATTTTTTCCCCATAAGAGAGGCTGTATTAAACTTACATGTAAATTAGAATTTTAACTTGTAACACTGTTGCCAAATTAGGGTTGGGGATGTAGGTTAGATTCTGTAGTATTTACAAGGACGACCTTTAAAAATAATTAGCGAAGTGCGAGGTTGGGGAAAATGAAAAGCTATGGGAATCAAGCAGAATTAAGAACTAAGAACTCCTAAGTTTTACTACGAAATGGGCAGAAGTAGAGTCCAGTGAACACCTGGTTCCCATTTCAGGCTGTGTTACTTTCTTTGGGGTCTTCTGCGTGCGGCTTAATCTCTGGGAGGTTCAGGTTCTTTAGCTGGAAGGCGGGGGTAATGATATTTTTTTCTCGTTGAGTGGGTTCGAAATAACGTATATGAGTCACGTGTAGCAGCCCCGCCCCCGCCCCGCAGGTGTTCCGTAAGTGGTTGCTGTTGCTGTTAGGGAGAAGTACGAATAAAAAAGAATTAGGAATTCTTAGATTGTTTGTATTGTATAAAAGGACCCTGAGGTGGTACCCCACCTCCCCTTGCACGCTCCATGTCAGCCATGAAGGCCTTTCTTTCCTGAGAAACTGCATATTGCTCATACCTCAGTGCCTTTGCACTTGCTTCTTCCTCTGCTTTGCTCTTTTACCATCTCTTTCAAGCCTTCGCTCGACGTTCTCATCTTCTCCACGAGGCCTTCTAACCAACCCTCATGTAAGCTTGGCTTTTCACCATAGCATTTATCAGTTTCTGATGTAACGTGCTTATTTATTCTGTTGATCGTCTTGCCGTCCTTCTAACAAGGTAAACTCCACGAGAGCCTGGTTTTGGCCCGTTTTATTTACTGCTGCATTCTCCTTCCTAGAAGATAATTTGTGTTCACAGACGTATTGTTGGTTGAGTAAATGACCTCAGCGTGCCGCCTGTCCGCAGGAAGCCACCGTGCAGTGGATGTGAGTCTTGTACACAAGTGACCGTAGTATAGCCGAGGAAAGGTGTCCAAAGACCGGCAGGTTGAAGGCTAGGGAATTCAGGAAAGGTTGATCACTCTGGCTGCAGAATCCAAGCAGGGCTTCGACGCAGAGGTGCCTTTAGAACGGGGTTCCGAAATGAGAGGGAGAACGTCACCGAGGTACGGAGGAGGGAAGGAAGTCGGGGAGACTGGTGACCATGTGTTGATCTCGGGCAGAACGCAGGGTATGGGAACTACAGGATCAGGAAAGAAGATTTAAAAGGTAGGTTTGGAAGGAACGGTGCAAGCCTTAGGTACTGGATGGCAAAATCGGCACCCCTTTCTGTAAAGAGTGTGGAGCCATTCCCGAGTTCTAAGTGGGAGGCTGTGGTGGTGGAGGTGTGTTCTATGGGGCAGCAAGGCAGCAGCGTGTGTTTACTCTGGATTAGCGTTCGGAGGGACCTGGAGGGCGTTTTTGGAAAGGTGGACCCCAACTGGCACCCTTGCCCCTGTACCCAGTTTAGGTGACGAGGATGGTGGAGCCACGGTCAGAACAGGAGGAGCAGAACCAGGAGGTTGGGCAAGGGGACAGCGACCTGGCCGGGGGCTGGATTGAGCGTCGTGGCGTGTGTTCCCCCGGACCTGAGTGGGGACTCTGGTGGGAAGGGCAGCAGGCTCCGAATGCGCCCTGGGGTCTGGGCCCGGTCCCCACCCTCCAGCCGCAGGAGGTGCTGCCTGAGTAGCATCTCTGTGCCTGTTTTCTCATCAGGGGCCCTTGACCTCAGATATTGGGTAGCTTTTGTGGAAGTGAAATGTCGCAAGCGCTGTGATGGGGTTGAAGCTGTAAATGGACTTCAGCTGGCTTCACTTCTAAACCTCACTGACTGGTGCTGGTGCTGCCTACTGTTCGTCTCTCTTTTCTTTTTAAAGGGTTTTATTTATTGTTAGAGATGGGAGGGGCGGGAGAAAGAGGGAGAGAAACATCGTGTATGGTTGCGTCTTATATGTGCCCTGATTGGGGACCCAACCCCACAACCCAGGCATGTGCCCTGACGAATTGAACCAGAGACCTTTGGCTTTGCGGAATGACGCCCAGCCCAGCCCACTGAGCCACACCGGTCACGGCTCTTAGTCATTTTGTAAAGAAAATTTAATTTCAACTTTCCTCATGGAGGTTAGAATGCTAGTCCCATTTTCCCTATTTCTTAAATTACCCATTTCATAATTTTATTTTCTTTGAGATGTATTTATTTCGTTTTCAACATTCTTTCATTCAGTGAAAGTTAATACTAAGTATTTGTAAATACTAGTGCAGTTGTGAAAATTGTGTTAAAGTTTAGAAAGAACAGGATGGAAACTCTTGAGTCTTTGAAAGCGTGTTTAAAATAAGAATAGGTTATTTTCAGAATTTTCAGTTCTCTCAGCTGCGGCATCCTTGAAGTCGGGGACTTTTGATCACTTTTAAAACTCCAAAGTCTGTGTGCCACAGTAGCTGCTCCGGTGACCATATACAGCCGACAGGAGCAGCTGGGAGCGGGTGTGCTGGGGAGGGGTGCCTCCCACCCAATCCCTCCAGGAGGTCACGTGGCCAGGTAACCACGTGGCGCTCATCATTCCTGGTTAGGAACCTAATTGAAGTGAAACTTAGCAAATTTTCTTGTGTTTGACTGTCTTGAACCCTGGCCCTGCCTGGGAGCTAATCCTTAGGAATAAAAAGATCATCTAGCCCTGGCTGGTGTGGCTCCATGGAGCGAGTGCTGGCCTGTGAACTGAAGGGTCGCTGGTTCGATTCCCAGTCAGGGCGCATGCCTGGGTTGCGGGCCGTGTCCCTGGATGGGGGCGTGTGAGAGGCAGCGATCGATGTATCTCTCACACATCAGTGTTTCTCTCCCTGTCTTTCTCCCTCCCTTCCCCTCTCTCTAAAAATAAGGAACTGAAATCTTTTTAAAATTTTTGTAAAGAACCCTCTGTGTGTCAGGACTTCCCAGGTGTGATTGGCTTGCAGTTAGAGGGGAGCAGAGTTTTACCTGGTCCGAGAATAGCCAGGGAACTCGTTCCTCTCAGGACATCCACACTGATGTCCTATTTTCAAACTGAAAGTCAAACGAGATAATTCATTTACTTAGTTCAGTGGCTGAAGGTTGCTGTATAAGTTGGCAGCTTGGAATTTTTGTGTCGCTTGCTGTCCTGCCACCGCCTCTCCCCCACCTTCCTTAAATTAACAAAACAACCTGAGTTCTAGAAAGGCTTATAAGTCCAACTTGCCACTGTAAACGGGTACCTTTTGTAGGGAAGCCAGCACACAGAACCACCGCCGTTGCCTTTGAGGAACTTCACTGAGTTTGTCTTCAATGGTAGAACATTAACTGAATATTAAATTTTATGGGGCTGACTATAAATAAATAAGGGCCGAAGGGGGAAAGATGCCTGTGGGCCAGAGCCGTTGAAGTCCTTGTCGCTCAGCCTGCAGCGTGACCTGGCCTTGCCTGGAGAGCAGGCGCTTGGGCGGTGGGTAGGAGGGCTGGGCGGTGGGTAGGAGGGCGGGCGGGCCTGGCGGGGGATGGGCCTGGCGGGGGATGGTGGGGGGAGGGGGGCAGGCCGGGCGGGCGGGTGTCTGGACCGAGGGGACTCTCGACCTCCGTGGAGCCGCAGTCCTGTGCTGGGAATGGGAGTGAGCAGCAGGGGTGCCACTCACTCTCTAAAGCCACGCCACGCAGGACATTGACCCACCCAGTCAAAAAAGGCCTTCTCTGTACCTTGTGTGTTTGCCCTTTTCCATGATAAATAGATTTTAAACAGCCTCGCGAAACTTTACGTAAGTAGGTGAAGAGTCATGTGTGGACATGGTAAAGTTGCGAACAATGAACTTTCAGTGACCTCAGGATAAAATGAGTAAGATTCTCTCAACACCTTGCAGGAGAACCTTACTCATTGTCACCGCCTCACCTCGTTAGTAGGGGTGGGATTGCTCCCTGTGACAGCTGACACTGGGTGGAGAAGAGCTACCACATTTACTTAGTCACTTACACTTGTCTGCCCAGGGAAGAGGGCGCTGCCCGCCCCGCAGGGTCGGGGGTGGGGTCCGGGGCTGCGTGGGGGCTGCAGAATCATGAACCCGTGGCTCTGGGAGGCAGGCTTTGTAGGAACAAGGTCATCATGCCCTTGGCTCCTGCTGGAGGGTGTGAGCAGTTTGCTTGCACGTGTAGCAGTTCTACCGCCCTTTAGCCCTTTAACAATTCCTGTCGCTGGCCCTTTAACAGTTCTGCAGCCAGGGCAGGGCACTGAGCCTGTGCCTGGGGGAAGCAGGAACTGTGCCTGGTGCCCCAGGAAGGCTGTTTGGCTTTGGGATCTTAACCTGGGGAGCAGAGGGCGGAGGGGAGCCTGCGGGGGAGGGAAGCGTGCGGGGAGGCCAGTAAAAGCCGTCCCAGTTTACCAGGTGTCAAAGCCTCATGTAATACCCAGTCTTAAATTTTAGACCTGACTCCGCATGCAGGTAGCTTGCATTTAGTGAAAGTTAACATTAGGTGTTAGTAAGCGTAAGTAAATGAACATTTGGTGTTTGAAGGTCAGATGTATGAGTGGAGAGTCTGATTTTGGATTTGCGAGGCTGCCATTCTGCTGGGCTTGGAATTGCAGATCAGGCTGATGATGGCAGATAAGCTTGTTTCTGGGTTTGGTCTTTGCAGATAACAAAGTTCCATTTTATTGATTCCACAATGTTCACACCTTTGGAATGGTGATCTGTGACCCAGGAACTCCTCTGTGGCGCTTGCTTGATAGTTGAGAACATGCTTCACGGTGGTGACGTTTTCGAGGTGGAGGGAGGGTTTATGTGAAGGGACGCTTTTACCTAAGCGCCGCCCTTGCCCGGTGGGAGGGTGCCCTGCCAGCTGGGCCGCTCCGTCCCTTTCCTCCCTTCTCCCAGAGCCGAGGCCCCTGTCTCCGCCTTTCCCCGGTGGGCGGCCTGCTCTCTCCCAGCCTGGTCGGACAGCTCTGTGCCGCGCTCACGGTGCCGGCGGTAAAACGGCGGTTACATTTCAGGGTGCTGATCTGAGTGATGCGGTGGTTTCCTGTCTGTTAACCACCGCTCGGGGAATAGGCAGCTTTAGTTTCTAGGGTCAACTGCATGTGATCCCGTCCACCTGTGCTTGTCCCCAGATAGTCTGTTTAAGATGTGCTTTGAGACTTCCAGATACCTAGGTGCCCAGGATAAAAAAGCTGCCGGCAGTCCAGTGAGGGGGGGCGCGGTGCAGTGCGAGGTGGGAGCGCTGCAGGCGCACGGCCTAGGGATGGTAATTCGCTAGAGTGCACAGGAGTGATGCTCTCACCTCCCCGTTCCCTCCTCACGTCTCCACCTCCCCGCCTTGCCGCACGTGCTGATGTCTCCGTGGAATCTGACCGTCCTGTGTCAGCAGGGCGTCCTGATTCACAGGGAAGCTGAAGTGGAGACTGGGTGTTAACCAGAGTTTGGCCCATAAAATGGGCAATAGCGTATTCACTTTAAAATCCCCAGAGACCTTATAGGTTGTTTAGCTCCTTGCTCTCTTACGTGTGTCTTCAGGTTATGACACATGCGCAGGGAGGCCCCAGCTAGAGGCAGGACTGAGTCTCCTTGCCGCTGCTTAGGGCCTTGCTCAGCGTGTTGTGTTGCCTCAGGAGTGGCATTAGGAGGACTGGAGAGATTTCATAGAGATGGATAATCTCATTCATAGTGCATGTGACTGATACTTAAAAAGAACTCTGCCCTGGCTGGTGTGGCTCAGTGGATTGAGCACCAGCCTGAGAACCGAAAGGTTGCTGGTTCGATTCCCAGTCAGGGCATATGCCTGGGTTGCAGGCGGGCCCCCAGTAGGGGGTGCTCAAGAGGCAACCACACATCGATGTTCCTCTCCCTCTCTCCCTCCCTTCCCCTCTCTCTAAATAAAATCTTAAAAACAAAACAAAACTCAGAGCCACCACTCCCACCTCCCACTTGAGTGTCTTACCTTCTTTCCATGTGTCATATTACTTTGTCCTAGATGGCGGAGTGATGTTGCCTTTGGGACGTGCGCGTGGTTTCTCTCTGGCACCTCTGTGGCTCTCGAGCACTGCAGGGGGTGTTTCAGAAACCTCAGTGTAGAGACGTCCAGACGTGCACAGTACAAGCAGAAGGTGAGAGGACAGTACCGTGAACCCCTCTGTGCCCAGCACCCATCGTTACCAGTGCGCCCCGTTTTCTGCGGGCAGGTTTTGGTTTTTCAGCAACCCGATGGGAACTCTCTCTTCACCTGTAGTAGTAAGCCTACTCGGGTGTGAGGTAGCTGTCCCATGGCCTGTGGCAGTGAGCTTTTGTGATCGAGCCTGCACGTTTTGGGGGTCAGCAAGGGTGACTCAGTGTTTTCCTCTTGCAGTGGCCATGGCAGGGTGCAAAGGGTCCCCTCTAGGCCCAGACCCAGGACCGGCACTCTGTTGCTTATACCTACCTCGCTGGCGAAAGCAGGCCACGCCCCCTACAGTGGGGTGGGGGAAACCCTTCTGCAGGTATTTGAGGACCCATAATGTCACTCAGCAGTGGAATCTCGGCTCTGTGTGCTAATGCTGTTTACCATCATTACAGAACGGTAGGTTTCCACTATCTCTTGTCTGTCTCCACTGAAGACTAAAAGCTGTGACTTTTCTATCCAGAGACAGAGCATAACGCTTACCGCGCACAGCACGTGCTCAGTGAATGCTGTTTGGATGGGTAGACAAAGGGATTGGGGGGTGAGGCGATAGAGTTAGCTGCTCCTGTTAAAGGCCAGGGTCTCGTGGCCTGAAGAAGGGTTACTGAGTGAGGCATCGGACTGATCTGCCCGTCAGTCCTGGGGTTCAATTGTTAAGTGGGACTTAAAATCAAGAAATACCAGAAAACCGTGTGGTGGTTATAACTGTGTTGCTGAGTAATGTTGTTTCCTCCACTTGCTACGCTTTGTTTTCGTTCATCAGCAGAGTTCATGAGTTGGCCGTTAGGGTCTTGTGGCTTGAGCCCTCTAGTACCCGTGACCTTCACGCTCTCTGGCAAGTCCGCCAGCAGCACGCAAGCACCCCGGCCTGCGCCTGTCTGCTGGCGTCACCACGCTCTGCTATCCACGTAACATGCAATCCGCCTTCTCCCCACACCCGCCCAGGGAGGCTGAATGAGAACTGAATTACCATGTGCTTATACCTGCGTAGCTTTCTAAGAAGGAAATGTGTGGGTGAAGGGTATTTGAGTTTCTCTATATAGATTATTCCAAACGGACACATTTGTGAAATGAGTAAATGTGTTTATAAGCTAGATTTGTATATTTATGCCTGATTTTCATCGTGTGGAATGTTTCTTCTTATAAGCAACGTGTTTTGTCACTACAGACTGTCAGATAAGACTGGAAAGATTTTTAAACTACAAAACCAGAGTTTATAAAATCAATTTAGATGTGGTTTTGAGTTATCCTTGACATATAATAATATCGTATTTGTGTAATTAATTAGGGTACAACGTAATGATTATGTTGCATATATTGTGAAATGATTACCATAGTACGTTAACATCCATCACCTCACATATTTTTTCTTGTGATGAGCATTTTTAAGATCTGCTCTCTTAGCCACTTTCAAATATACAACACACTATTGTTAACAGTAGTCACCATGCTGTACAGGACGTCCCTGGGACTGACTTATAACTGGAAGTTGGTGCCTTTGGACCCCTTCACCTTAAAAAAAAGGATATTTTGGGGGGGGGGGGGGGGGGGGGGGGCCGGCGGGGGGGTTTTTGACTCTCGTCTGTTTGCTTGCAGGTCTGAAGCCTGCAGCGCCCGCGTCGCCTCCAGCACCGGCATTCCTGTCCTGTGATCGATGTGAGCCGCAGGAGCTTCTTACGTCGCAAACGAAATGAGCCAGGGGCGCGGAAAATATGACTTCTACATTGGTCTGGGATTGGCTATGAGCTCCAGCATTTTCATTGGAGGAAGTTTCATTTTGAAAAAAAAAGGCCTTCTGCGACTTGCCAGGAAAGGTTCCATGAGAGCAGGTAGGTTGGGGCGCAGCGACTGTGTGACGTCGGCGCGGGCTGATGTCCTCGGGTGCTTTGACTGTGGGCGACTGCCCCGTCCTTCCTAGTGAGTCTGTTCAGAACTTCAGATGAGAGTTGTAAATGTGTATAGAGAACCTAACATCAGTTTTGTAACAAAAAAAAAAAAAAAAACAAAACAAGAAGTGAGAAGATACCAAATAAGCTAACCACTCACTCCTGCTGTTTACTGTCAAACTGGGACCCAGGGCCAAGGGCGGATGAGCGTCCAGTGCTTGCTTTATATCCTGATGATTCTGCAGAGGAGGAGGTAGGGTGTGTGGAGAATCAGAGCCTTATCCAGGGCGAGGCTCCTTTGTGATAGTGGAATTCAGATAGTGGAAGTTACCTTAGGCGTTTTTCCTGAAGATCTTCAAGGCAGGAAGGAAAGAGGGTGTCCCCTCCCCAGGTTGAAGAGTCCTCAGTTCAGTGACCTTCTGAGGGGGGTGTAGGCTCTTTCCCCAGAAACTGCTCACAGGCCAGGAGGCCCCGGGCGACACTTGACGTGCTGGAGCCCGGCTCTGACTTCAGCCGCTGCCCTCACGACAGCGCCCAGCGTTGTGCTGCATCCGGGTCACGTTCTGTCGTTCAGCCTCTGCGGCGGTTCTAGACCTGGTTCCAGCCTCCTAAGAAGACCTGCTTTGGCAGTAAAGTATGCCACCTCCCCCTTGGCCGCGGCGGTTTGCGAGGCCTCGGCTGCAGTTCCGGGGACAGAGGACCTCCGAACAAGTGTATTCCTCCGCCGTGGTCAGTCCCGCGGCGGATATGCTAGTCAGGCTCTCCTTGGATCGACTTCTTCTTTGGACAAGCACCTAAGTACCGACTGCTTGACTTGGCTGGTAGGTTGGGGCGACAGTCAGGTGAAAAAGCAGGAGGAGCGATCTAGCAGCCCCCGACCCTGAGCTGGCCGGCGTGGGACCCCTCCCTCTGTCCAAGGTCCGGGCCTCATAGAGGCCAACCCACCCCTACGGGGCTTGTCCACTCTCAGGCTAATCCCTTTGAAGCTGGGCTGCTTTAGATTGGTTCATTTTCTTTACTTTGTTTATTAAAACTGACTTCACAAAAGACTGACGTATAAGGCTAGATTTCATTCCTTCACTCAACAGTACGGTAGAAACCTAAACGCTTTTAACGTTTTCATGATCCTCACATTGCCTTTTTGTTATATAGTCATAAAAATATGATCTAAGAAATCCCTTTCGACATGCTGGAACCTTTAGTCAAAGCAGTAATAAGTAACAAATGAGATATTTTAAAATCTGTCGTTAGGAGTAACTGTCATAACATTCGTAGGGTCTGATGATCTTTCCAAGAAGTGACATATGTTCTCATTCACAGGTCAAGGCGGCCATGCGTACCTCAAGGAGTGGTTGTGGTGGGCTGGACTGCTCTCGAGTACGTATGAGAGTATTTTTAAGAAAATGTTACACTTGTACATTGAGATTTGCAGGTACTATTACAGCTTCATGTTATTAGCAGCTTTTAAAGTTCAAGTCCTTTTTCTAATGAACGAAACTCAAAATATTTAAAATGGAAGCCTGTAAAAGGCTTCCATTAAATTATGTAAATGTTATCTAAGCTTAAGAGCAGCTGAAATAACAAAGTGACTGATTTGACTATTCCATCAGCAGATACTATTTTTTGTATGCCTGGTGTTCTTCTGGGTGCGGGAGACGCGCTAGTCAAAGAAACAAAAATCCTTACCCACTGAGAGCGAACAGTCTAGATGGAAGACAAATAACAAACTGCGTTAAAATGTGTAGTGATAAATGCTAAGAGTGGTTAGGAGTAAAGTAGGGAAGGGGGGCGTAAAACGAAGAGTTGATAGCTTTACATGTTGGGGGAGGCGGGCGGGTACAGGAAGTGGGGGAGCTGTCCGTATGGATTCTTGGGGGAAGAACATTTTAAACAGGAGGAAACAGTGAATGTGAAGGTGCGACGGGGGGCCCAGCCTGCGCCCTGCAGGTGTGGGGGGCAGCCTCCAGGGTAGCCCCCGAGTCTCACCGGTGGTGTTCACACCCTTGTGTAACGCCCCCCGGCACTGACCAGTAGCAGGGGTGGCGTTTGTGACTTCAGAGGCTGTCCCCAGAGGCACTGGGGTGTGGCCTTGAGTGCAAGGGTGGCTCGCTTGGAGTTGTGTTGGGGGCGGGGGTACTCAGGCCTGAGGGACAACTGCTTTTGCCCCACCCTGGATGTATAAAAATCCTAAACAAAATAATGAACGGATTAGATTTATTCTAGGGATGCAGAGTTGGCGTAAATCTGGAAAACCATTCACTGTAGTTTACCGCGTTAACAAATTGGAGAAAAGGTGTATAATTTTAATGCAGTTCAGGAACTGTTCACGACGAAAAGGAAAGTATTTCAAATGAGTAACTTAAGTGAATTATTTTAATATGGCAGAGGATATAAAAGGTAAGCCAAAAGAAGCCAAAACAATAACACAATAAACACCAAAATGGGCCAGTATTGAAGGCTTTCTTTTTGTGACTGGGGACAGACAAATGGCCCCTCATCACTCCTTCGGTATTTTACTGGAATTTCTAGCCAGTGCGGCAAGGCAAGGGGTGGGGGGCAAAATAGGAGAATTAGAAAGGATTGTGTAAACTTTGTAATCTGCTGATTATATGAGTGTGAGCATGAAAAAGAAAATACAGATAAATTATAAAATTAAGGTTTAGCAACATAAAATCAACATACACAAAACTTAGCGGTATTTCTATATACCAGCAACAAACAATTAGAAAATAAAATGTTGAAATGATACCATGCGCCTATAGTTTTAAAAAACAGGAATCACTTATAAAGCTAACAAAAGATGGGAAAGATTTCCACAGAGACAGTAAAATCATTACTGAGGAGACGACGACAAATAGAGGGATATACCATCTTCATGGACGGAAAGTCGTTACTGCAAACTTGTCGTTTCCCTCCACGCGGACAGGTGCACAGCTGCTCCGTGTAAAACTGTAGGGGGGGCGGTACGTGGTGGGTTGATTGTAAAATTTGTGTAGTAACACAGAAGTCTGAGGAAAGCAAAGACACCCCTTAAGAGGAGGTGAGAGGACTTGCTTTACTGGATATGAAGGCTCAGCAGGTTTCCCTGATTCCGTCAGCGTGGTCTTGCGCCTGGGTGCACGCACTCACGCACGCACGCACGCACGCACGCGCGCCGCAGTGGGCGGCCCGGAAGCGGACCCGCGGGCGCTGTGCTCACCTCACGGGGCGTTGAAGGAGGGAGACGAGCCCCTCAGGAAGGGCGGCCGTGCCAGTCTGTAGGGAGGAGAACGCAATTGGATTCACACCTCCGTGTAGAGATCGCCTCCAGGGGGTTCATCATGCAGGAACGTGAAAGGCAGCGCACTAAGCGTTTGAAAGAGAATGTTTGAGAAAGATGTGTACAAGTTGCACGAAGCACTAACAGAATGGGAAATAGTTTTATTTTTAAAAATTTTTTAAAGTTTTTATTTATTTTTAGAGACGGGAGGGAGAGAGAAAGAGAAGGGGATACACATGGGTCAGTTGCCTCTGCGCGCCCCACACTGGGGACTGGCCTGCAGCCCAGGCATGTGCCCCGACTGGGAATCGAACCAGCGACCTTTCGGTTCTCAGGCCGGCACGCAGGCCACTGAGCCACACCAGCCAGGGCTGGCAGATATTTTTAAATTTCACAATAAAATTAAGAACTTTTGATCAAGAGTTTAAGAGAATATAAAGACAAATCACAGTTATAAAAATAGTGTTTTAAACCCACAGAAAACTCATGTTCAGATGATAAAGAATTACCTCAGTAAGAGAAAACAAATAGCCTAGTAGGCAAATAGGGGGAAACTTGAACAGCTTCTTCACTAAGAGTTCACTTGGCCAATAAACGAAACGGGGAAGTGCAAGTTGAAAGCACAGCTAAAATAATCTTCCCCGTGAACAGATCGGCCGACCCGTGAATCTGAAAACAGCAGGCGGCGGGGAGCCCACACACGCCGCTGGCTGAGGCCTGGCCCGGCCGTTTGGAGGCGCGGTCGCCCGCGCGGCCTCTTTAAAAAGAGATCACGCCGCTTTCCCGTGTGGGACCCCCGTGGCTTCTCTGCTCCGATGCCCTTCTTTGCAGGTCCACAGGGGGCGCTCGCCACCTGACTCCCCTGCCTCGCCCCTCCGCGCCCAAGCCCCGCTGCAGCACCTGCCTCCTCGCCTTTCTTCCTGCTTGGGACGCCTCGCCCGTCCGCCCCGCCCCGCCCCTCCCCCCTGCAGTAGATGCAGGTTCACCCCCTTCTTCAGTGGGAGCCGTGGAGCTTCCCGCCAGAGCCCTTCGCGGCGCCGCGGCCCTGCGCCCCGTCCTGCCCGCCCTTTGCTTCCCCTCGTTTGTCTACGTGCGTGTTCGAGCCTTTGCCAGTGGTTGTGTCGGCTCCCCTCACTAAATGCAGGTTTTAGGGGGCCATACGTGTGTCTCCTCACCCTAGAATAACATCTGGCACTTAGTAGGTCCCCAGGCATATGTAAGAGTTGAGTTTTTTTAAGAGCCAGTGAAAAAGGCTTGAGACGTACTTTCACAGCAGTTTTAGTAGCTTTTAATTTATTTGCATTTGTTGTCATAGGATATAAATATCTATTAAAATTGTTTATTAAAAAAACATGTAAGTATAAATTAGATCTCTTCATTTAAAATAGATTTGTATTGTTTCTAATTGGTTTGGCCTCTCTTCTAATGTTGAGGATTTATGAAAAGAGGGGAGAAAATACGGAAATTACTAAACACAATTGAAGGATTATATAAATATATATATATAAGTAGAATGCGGGTATTTCCAATTTGTGTGGCTATGTGGCTATGTTCCTGAGTGTTTTCTTTTGTTGTCCACTCCAGTGGGAGCCGGTGAGGTGGCCAACTTCGCTGCGTACGCCTTCGCACCTGCCACCCTGGTGACTCCACTGGGAGCCCTCAGCGTCCTCGTAAGGTAAGGGCGTGTGGGGACCGCCTGTGGCATTAGGGCTGTGAAGTGGTCAGTGCCAGCTAATTGCACGTGCGCCGCATAATTCACATTTAAACAGCCTCGAGAACATTCCTAATGCTGTGTCATAATTCGCTTTTAAACGGTTATCTTCTGTGCTCAGACCAGCTGTCCGTTTGTGGGAGAAGATGCTTCTGTGCTTGGTCTTGCTTGTATTCCAAACCAGCGCTAGTTTTGCTTTCATTTCCTTTTTTTTTTTTTTTAAGATTTTATTTATTTATTTTTAGAGAGAGGGGAAGGGAGGGAGAAAGAGAGGGAGAGAAACATCCATGTGTGGTTGCCCCTCGTGTGCCCCCTACTGGGGACCTGGCCTGAAACCCAGGCATGGGCCCTGACTGGGAATCGAACTGGCAACCCTTTGGTTCACAGGCTGGCACTCAGTCTACTCAGCCACACCAGCCAGGGCATCATTTCCATTTTTTAAAGTTCCAAGTGGCTCTTGTCACATTGTTCATCACATGACATGTGATGAATAGATTTCTGTGCTTACCACAGAAAATCGCCGATGGGGGCAGGCTCTGCACCTCTGAAGACTGGCTCTGGGTGCTTGTTTGCAAGGAGCAGTGCAAGACTTGTCCGATCTCTGTCGCTTCGTGATCAGCTCTGATAGCTAAGCCCATGCTGAAGTCTGGATTTTGGCTGCTATCCCCGAAGTTAATTGATAGATATTGTTATCCTTTTTTTTTTTTTTTTTTTTTTCCTTCCCCAAGATTGTGTGTGATCCAAAAATATCTCTGGATTTTTTATATTTTAAAAAATTTATAATTTTTTTTATTTATTTATAAAAAATTGTATATTCTCACATGTTTAAACTTCAGTCACCTTCAAAGCCCTCTCCATTTGATGCCATATACTTTTGGAGATGTTTTTCCCGCTTCTCAAAACAGTTTTTGAGAAACTCATCCGTTTTGATGCCTTTTTGTGCTTCTGCTGCTGGTTTTCTTACTTTCAGCTCTTCCACACCGGCGAAACTTTTTTCTTTGAGGACTTTTTTCATCTGGGGAAACCAAAAAAGACTCTTGGGTGAGATCGGGTGAATAGGGAGAGTAGGGCACGGCGGGGGGGAAATCATGCTGTTTTCGGTCAAAAACTGCTGAACCCTCAGCATGATGTGAGCAGGTGCATTCATAAATCACCCATCATGAAATGGGCAAAGACATTGAAAGAGTCTTCCCCAAAAAATTCTCTGAAACTGAACGCAGCCTCTCACCACAACGCCAGCTGGTCCACTGATAACAAATGGGTTTCTAGAACACTCACCTAGTGGGAGAAGCCTGTACTACAAGGGGCCCGCCCTCCAGACGATAGTTCCGGGGTTGTTTTTGGGGAGGGGGTCTCTATAAATAGTACAAGTAAATTATATAATTTTCCAAGATTATTATAGATTCTATATAAAGATATATTACAGCATGTGTCTTTTATCCTTATTTTTCTGTATGTGTTAAATTTATAGGTTTACACTGTATTTTTTTAATATTTGGATAACTAGCTACAAAGCATTGAAACTTGATAACTAATAGGCCAATTATATAGAATTAAATGGACACGTAAGAGGGACCCATCAACCAATGACGATAAATTGAAGTTGAGCAAATTTTAAGCATTGGTTTGATATAGATTCTTAATTAGGATATGAATTTGTCCGTAGCTCCACTGGTTGTAAATGTCATACTGATTTCCTGCAGTAGAAAGGTGGTAGCTCTACTGGTTTAGTGTGTGATGAAGCGGGTGCGTCCTGGAGGTTTCATTTTGTGATCAGAAGATGTTTTCTATACCTTGGCCCAAAGCCGGAATCTTGATAAGCTCCCAGGATTTTAGTCTGAATTGCGTTGACATTGAAAAAGGAGACAAGTAGCTTAATATTTTAATTAATTCGCCTTCTCCCTCCCATTTCAGTGCCATTCTTTCTTCATACTTTCTAAATGAAAGACTTAATCTCCACGGGAAAATCGGATGTTTGCTGAGTATTCTAGGATCCACAGTTATGGTCATTCACGCTCCGAAAGAAGAGGAGATCGAGACGCTCAATGAAATGTCTCACAAGCTCGGGGACCCAGGTAGGAAAGGAAAGGCTTTATGACGCTCACTGAAGTGTTACTTTTAAGTTTAGTTTGTTTTTTTAATTCTATTTTTTATTTTATTATTATTAAAAATACGGGATATTTGCCGGCTGTCCCAATTTCTTTCTTTTTTTTTTTTTAGATTTTATTTATTTATTTTTAGACAAAGGGGAAGGGAGGGAGAAAGAGGGAAACATCGATTGCATCTCACGTGTGCCCTACTGGAGATGCCCCCTGCAACCCAGGCCTGTGCCCTGCCTGGGAATTGAACCGGCGACCCTTTGCTTCACAGGCCGACATTCAATCCACTGAGCCACACCAGCCTGGGCTAGTTTATTTTAGTCAAAGTTTTGTGTGCATACAAAGAGGCAGATTCCTCTGTGTGGCTCATTAGGACACAGCAGTTACCTCGCTTCCTGGTTCTTTGGTCCGTGTCTGAAGAACATGCTTCTGTTGCTGCTTTCTCAGCCGTAGATCTGTTACCTGTTGAATCTATTTAATTTTGTCTGATTTGTTTACAGTACATAGCTTTTATTCTCAGCTGAGACGTACAATACATTGATTACTTTTTTTTTCTGCATTTATATTAGTTTCATGTGCGCAGTATAGTGATCTGACACAACACCGTGCGGTGTGATCGCCGTGAGTCTAGCAACCGCCTGTCACTGTGCAGACTGATGGCAGCGTGGCGGGCTGTGTTCCCCTCGCTTTTCTCACCCATCGCCCCGACTCCCCTCCGCTCTGGCAACTAGTCCCTTTGGTCTGACCTTCCCTTTCTTGTCTTGAGTTTTCCTGAACAAATAGTGGCCTTGTTGGCCTAGTTTCCTTGTTGCGTGTGTGTCTTTTAAAAAAAAAAAAAATTATATTTTATTGATGATGCTAGTACAGTTGTCCCAATTTTTCACTCAATGCTCCCCTCTGCCCAGTACCCGCCACTCCCTTAGGCAACTCCCACATCATTGTTCTTGTCCACGGATCATGTGTCTAAGTTCATTGGCTGCTCCTTTTTCTCTTCTGCACTTTACATCCCCATGGCTATTCTGTAACTACCTGTTTGTGCTTCTTAATCCCCTCACCTCTTCACCTCTTCCCCGACACTCGCCCTTCCATCTGGCATCTGTCAAAACGCTCTCTCTATCCATGATTCTGTCCCTGGTCGTCGTCTTTGCTTAGTTTCTTTTTTAGATTTCAACTGTTGATAAGATATGTGTTCATTGCCATTTTATTGTTCATAATTTTGATCTTGTTTTTCTTAAATAAGCCCCTTTAACCTTTCATATTATAATGGTTTGGTGATGATGAACTTTAGTTTTTTCTCTTCTGGGAAGCTCTTTATCTGCCCTTTGATTCTTAATGATAGCTTTGCTGGTTAAGAGCAACCTTAGCTGTAGGTCCCTGCTTTTCATGACTTTAAATGTTTCTGGCCAATCCCTTCTAGCCTGCAGTTTCTTTTGAGAAATCAGTTGACAGTCTTATGGGAATTCTCTTGTAGGTAACTCGCTGCTTTTCTCTTGCTGCTTTTAAGAGTCTCTTTATCTTTAACTTTTGGCATTTTAATTTTGATGTGTCTTAGAGCAGGTGTCTTTGCATCCCTCTTGTTTGGGTCTCTGCGCTTACTGGATTTGTGTGTCTATTTCCTTCACCAAATTAGGGAAGTTTTCTTTCGTTAGTTTTTCAGATTTCCAATTTCTTGTTCTTTCTCTTCTCCTTCTGGCACTGCTATGATGCGAATGTTGGCGTGCTTGACGTTGTCCTAGAGGCTGCTTTTATACTGTCCTTGTTTTTTCCGATTCTTTTTTCTTGTTCTGATTGGTTGTTTTTAGCTTCCTTAAGTTCCAAATCGGCGATTCTTAGCTTCATCCACTCTACTGTTGTTTCCCTGCAAATTGTTCTTTATTTCCGTTAGCGTATCCTTTGTTTCTGAGTAGATCTTTTTTATGCTGCTGAGGTCCTCACTAAGTTCCGTGAGCATCCTTATAACCAGTGTTTTGAACTCTGCATCTGATAGGTTGCTCATCTCCATTTTGTTTAGCTTGGGGCCTGGGGCCAGGGGCTGGGCCGAGGCTGCTCTGGGGAAGTGAGCGGGAAGGACTCCAGCTGGAGGCTGGCGCTGGAGGAGACACGTTGGGATCGGATCCTGGCTGCCCAACAGACACAGTCAAGTCGGAGTTCTCTGTAGTCTGAAAGGAGGACGTTAGGGGAGGAAGTCTAGTCCAGGAGTAACTGCTTTCTCAGGCTGGCAGCCCAGTTCCAGTCAATGATTCACTAGTCTCGACCTAAGTGGCTCATAGGTGCGCCCATGTTAGAGTTGGCAGAAACCTCTGTTTTCCAGATGACTGGTGAGAGGTCGGGAGAGGTTCTTTTCATTGCCCCAAGTCACCCAGGTAACTGGAGAAGGGATGGGCGGGAACCAGGCCTCTTCCTGTTCAGTCCGGTGACCATGCCTGAACCCGGCTGGGTGTGTGGGGCTTGAAAATCAGGGCTGTTAACATTGACTTCCTCAGTTGGCTTGGCCATCAGCTGTCAGTTTTCAAGACAGGATTTTCATGGCCTGTGCCCAGCCCTGCCAGCCCAGGTTATGGGCACAGGGCTGTCTAGCTGCCGGGGCCTCGACACAGAAGCTGCTGTGTTTCCTTTGCTAACCCTCCTCTGCCTGAGTGACAGGTTGGGGTGAAGTGACCGCTGCTGCCTCATCAGGCGGCGTTGTCATCCTCCTCCCTGCAGGAAAATGTACGGCCAGTGACTTAGGAAAAGAGTAAGATCTTAGGCCCTGGCCGGGTTGCTCAGTTGGTTACAGTGTCGTCCACATACTGTAAGGCCATGGGTTCGATTCCCGGTCAGGTAACATAAAAGAATCAACCAATGAATGTATACATGAGTGGAACAACAAATCGATGCCTCTAGTTCTCTGTCTCCCTTCCTCTTTCTCTACAAAAAGGGGAAGAAAGGAGTAAGAGCTTAGAGTTGAAAGGATCTTCACCTCCCATCCAAACTGCAGCCCCTTCGCCTGTACCCCTGACAGGTGGTCACCCTGTGGCTGGGGACGTCCATTCCTTTGTCAGGACAGCTGTGATGACTAGAAAGCTCTGAGTCCTGTGCCACGGCAGCGTGACTTTGTGAACAGAGTAGCACAGGCTTCAGAGTCAAGCGACTTCAGCTAGAATCCTGCCTGTGAAATTCACTGTGCCACTGGAGTAAGTTATTTCTCTTCTGTCAGTCACATTCGCTTCGTCTGGAGACGAGGGACGATACCTGTTTGACAGTCACTCTGGGTATTAGAGGTGATGCAAGAAAAGCTCCCAGCTCCAGCTGGGGTGGCTCAGCGGATTGAGCACCAGTTTGCAAACCAAAGGGTCGCCAGTTTGATTCCCAGTCAGGGCACATGCCTGGGTTGTGGGCCGGGTCCCCAGTAGGGGGCGCACGAGAGGCAACCACGCATTGATGTTTCTCTTTCATATCAATGTTTTTCTGTTCCCCTCAAAAATAAATAAAAATTGAAAAGAAAAAAGAAAAATGCCTAGCACAGTTTCTGGCACAAAAAGCTGATAAAGCCATGGCTCTTATCATTATCATCACTGTTATCCCGCCTCCAAGTCCCGGTGGCGCTACGTACATATATGTACCTATGACAAGTACTTCCAGTGGTGGCCATGTGATTCCTAAGGGGTTGTGTAGGGGTTGGGTTTTGTTGTTTTTAATTGAAGAGTAAACTTTTTGTTCACGGAAAGCCTGCCACGCTCTGGGCGTTGTGCTGAGTTCCAGGGACGCAGGCTGCCTGGGACAAAGTGTCAGCATACGAGACACAGGTCTGTTCTCCCTCACGAGCCCTGTTTCTTGGTATGTGGTTGTCCATGGCTCTCTTGACTGTTGGTGGAATGAATTATGGAATAAAATCATTCCCAGGGGGAATTTTTCTTGTAAACAAAAAGACATTTCCCCAATTCACTTATTTTCTAAATTCAGATATTTTGTCTCACCGCTCCCAGCCCAGCCCAGACCTGGTGTTTTTACCATCTGCGGTAAGACCCAGTCGCCAAAATAAATATGTACTGCTCCTTTCGAGGCCAAAGTCAGTGCACAGGGGCGTCCAGGACCAGAAGGCCCCTGTCGGCCCCAGCGCTCGGCACTGCGGCCGCTTCCCAGCCCCCTCGCCGGGCTCTGCCTCCTCCTCCAGCCTCGGTGCGTGTGCAGCTGCCAGGCCCGCAGCGCCTTCGGGGGGCACTGAGCACAGGAAGCGGACGGACTTCTGCCTTCTGTCCTTGCTGCGTTCTTGGCCCTTTATCTCCCAGCTGCTCAGGCAGCCCAAAATTTCAACTCTGTTTGTTAACCTAATGCACCGAAACTTCCACAGACCCCGGCGGCCCCTTTCCGCTGCCTGGGTGCCTGCCCTCGCTCCCGGCTGATGGAACAGTGCAGGGCGCCCCCGTTTCCCCAGCTGGGGCTCCTGGCTGCTCCCATTGCTCTGCGGACGCGTGGCGGTTTTGCTGTTTCTGTGGGCCGGAGCGCCCTCGGTGCTGAGGTTTCCCTCCGTCTCCATGGAGCAGCGGCCTCGCTCTTCTCCCGATGTGTTGGCGCCACTCCTGGCGACCCTTGGCGCCTCTGCCTTCAGCCAGAACCCGCAGCAGGTGTCACGCTTCCTTATCGATTTGCCCTTAACCCCGGTGGTTGTCCCTAAGAGTGGAAAAAATGTACTCCATTTAGAACAGATGTGACTTGTAACTCCCGTTCCTGTTGAGATCAAGGTCTCCTGATTCTCCCCCCTGGGTTCTGAGGGACTGGGTCCTGGGGTCAGAGCCCGCCCACGGGGGCAGCGGCGTGGTATTTCTGAGGACACGCGGCTTTGGATCAGCCTGGTGTCCTTTCCTTTGCTGCAATTCTCTGGAGGCCTAAGGCGCTGCTAGCAAAGCGTCTGGTGGCGCAGTTTGTGAACAGGAAGCCCGGATCCATCCTCCGGTGTGTGCATGCGACAAGTTTGGTGGGCACGCTATTGCTGGGGCCACAGGCGAAGCTTTTATTTCAGGGTCGCACCGTTCCTCCTTCCTGCCGAGTTAACATTTTGTTTTGGATTTCTGGTTTTAAGTATGTAAACGTTTGACTAAATAGAACCGGTCTTTGCCTCCTCCAGGTTTTGTGGTCTTTGCGACACTTGTGGTCATCGTGTCCTTGATCCTGATCTTCGTGGTGGGACCGCGCCACGGACAGACGAACATCCTCGTATACATCACCATCTGCTCCGTGATCGGGGCGTTCTCGGTCTCCTGCGTGAAGGGCCTGGGCATCGCCATCAAGGAGCTGTTCGCGGGGAAGCCTGTGCTGCAGCACCCGCTGGCCTGGGCGCTGCTGCTCAGCCTCGTCGTCTGCGTGAGCACGCAGATCAACTACCTGAACCGGGCCCTGGACATCTTCAACACGTCCCTCGTGACGCCCATCTACTACGTCTTCTTCACGACGTCGGTCCTGACGTGCTCGGCCATTCTGTTCAAAGAGTGGCAGGACATGCCTGTGGACGATGTCATCGGCACTTTGAGTGGCTTCTGCACAATCATTGTGGGGATATTCTTGCTGCATGCCTTCAAAGACGTCAGCTTTAGCCTAGCCAGCCTTCCCGTGTCTTTTCGGAGAGACGATAAAGCCGTGAACGGCAACCTCACTACTATGTATGAAGTTCTGAACAACAACGAAGACGGCGTAACCTGTGGAATCGAACAGCACGCTGGGGAGACCGTGTCCCGAAGAAACGGAAGCCTGACAGCTTTTTAAGAAACATGGGATCAAACGGTTAACCTGTCGTTGGTATAAAGTGAATCTGAGTATCCGAACGTGTCTGGGATAGTGTTCTTCTCAAATAATGTTCTCTAGAGACAATCTTTTTTAAGGTTTCACTGATTTGGACCAAGAAATTACTTTTATTATATTTCAATGATGGTAGCTCACTAAAATGACCTCAGTCCCCGGCCAGTTTTTGTTAACATTGTTACTCTGGTAGCCGTATTGGAAAGTATTTTCCACCGACCTCGAAATGCACTAATTACAGTTTGGAGTCTATAAAAATGCTTTACTTCCTCAGTGGCGGCGGGAGTCTGCAGCGTACGTTTTTCGTCTCCATTCACATCATCCCTGAGCAGTTTAAGGCTTTTTCGATTGAAAGAACCAAATTATCTCAGTATATTTATTACCCTGTGATTTAGCTTACCTACACAAATGGCTCCTGTTTGAGGAATTATTTTAACATATCAAAGAAAATACTGAATTACTAAGGGCAACTCATTTACAAACAAAGGGCAGGAATTCACGCCACAGAATACTTCCCGGTGTGACCGGTCGGCCCTTCCTGGCCCTTAACCCAGCACATCCTGGGCTGCCAGGCGGGGGTGTCCTTTAGTGACTGCAATCCCTTGACGCCCCAAACCTTGATTCCCATTTTTACATCGGCTCTGGTACTTTGCGGTATATTTTCATGATGAGTTATATTGTCGTTTAGGTCTTCTAACAACTCTGGGAAAGTAAGGTAATTGAAAAAACCGAGCTTCCGTTACAATAAAAAAGATTGGCAACAAAGTTCTTTCTAAGTCTGGATGCTTAGGACAGGCTTGTCTGTGAAATCTGGTTTCTTTCCAGGTTTCTTGACAAGTTCTTTCAGAAACATCGGTGAGAAACGTTCACGGAATGAGAATTTCAACCGTATGCAGAAAAGGTAGAACAGAACCGTAAACTCCATCAGCTTCAAACGTGTGGTCATAGCAATTAACTGGCCGTAAAAACAGTTGACAGTTAATGTCCCCCTGGGTAGTAGGTATCTCTCAGGCTGTTTCCACTCTGCTGTTCCTGCCCAAGGTCACCCAGCTCGGCTCCCCTGTGTGACTGCCCCCGGCTCGGCCCACACAGCTCTCCGCTGACATTACCAGGGAAGAACTGACAGGCTCCGAGTTCCATGAAATAAACCCCCTTCCCCCCAAAGTTTTATCCTATACCCTCTAGGGAGCCTTTTTAGACCTTTTTCCCCCGAAGGCCTCCCTGTGAAATTTTCTACCGGATAAACTCTGTTTGCTGTGCTGTATCCTGCTGTGCTTCCTGCATAACAGCAAGAACCAGTACCTCTCCCTCCCTCCCAGGTGTGACAGTGCCCTGAGAATGCAGAACTTGAAGAATAAATTCTTATTTAACATCTTAAAACACTTGTCTTTTACATGAGTGTCTAGTACATTTTGTTTTACAATTTTTTTATTGTATTTTTTTCCATTACCATTTATCTTCCCCCAGTGGTTTATAATTCTTATAAAAGTAATATGAGTAGTTTGTTTAAATTTGGTCATTATAGTAATTTTTCATCATAGTCTTTCCGTGTGGGGTGAGAACCGATCTGCCTCACTCAGAATGCTGGTTCCCAGGTTACTAGCGCACATTAAGAAAACAGCAGCTAGCCCTGGCTGGTGTAGCTCAGTGGATTGAGCACTGGCCTGTGAACTAAAAGGACACAGGTTCGGTTCCCAGTCAGGGCACATGCCTGGGTGGCAGGCATGTGAGAGGCAGCCAATTGACGTTTCTCTCCCCTCTCTTCCTCCTCTTCCCTCTCTGTAAATAAAAATCTTAAAAGTTTTAAGTGACTTGGTGAAGAACAGTTCTCTCTCCCCTTACCTAAGGTCTGCCAGCGCAGTGGGCCAGTCTATGCTATTTTCAATAGCACATAGAACGCTCCGAAACCTCAGTGCTTGTCCAAGGGGGCAGGACCCCAGGCCCAGGCCTCCGGGACCCAGTCTGCACTCCGCGAAGCAGAGACAGTACCTGCCCAAGTCAGAGCACAAGGGGGCACCGTAAAGGAGTGACCGCAAGCAGGTTTCATTAGTTTTATTTCTGTAAGCTTTAAATCATCCCTCACAAATTAGATTTTGTTACAACTGGATTCAGTAGAAACAGGAATATCAAGGTCACTATTTTCCGAAACACTTGACAAAAAAGGGAAGGGAACAATGACTCAGAATTCATAAAAGACCGTTAGAAAAGTCCCTAGACAAAAGCTAAGTAATCATTAACTTTAATTCTAACTGGTAGTGGGTTTTATTACAATTAGTTGGTATTAAGTTTCTTGCTTAAGTTCATAAATCTCTCCCTAAATATCACTGATCCTTGGCTAAGGGATAAATGGATGAACTCAGCAGCACTTTACGACATTCCATAGAAAAATGGAAAATAACTTTGTAAGGACATCATGGCGACAATCAGCAGCCAAGAGTCACAGGCTTCCTAATTACCAAAAGCATATACAATTTTAGTCTAGAAAAATAAGTCGATTTTATAAAATTAAGCTTTCAGGTCAAAAAGTACCCCCTTTAACAGGTACAAAGATACTGACAAATAGTCCCTAAAAATCGCACTAGTTGATGAAAAGAAAAACATGCCCTGCAGTTGCTGAGTGCAGTCAGGACTGGGACTCCACGAAGAGGCGACGCGCACGTCCTCAGCTGCTGGCCAGGGACTGGTGGATGGGCGGCTGGAAGCAGCGGACGTGCTCCACGGGCGTGCTCTCCCCATCACCCGACTTCAGGTACTTGTCCAAGATGGCGATGATCTCATCGTTCAGAATCTGGAACTTGCGAATTCTCTCCACCATCTTCTTCAAAGGCTACAACCGTTAAAATGAGCTGTTTAACTCTTAAAACATACATTTATTCTCGCCCCGACTGGTGTGGCTCAATGGGTTGGGTGTCATCCCACAAACCGAAAGGTCGGCGGTTCAATTCCCAGTCAGGGCACATGTGTGGGTTGTAGGCCAGGTCCCCAGTAGGGGGCGCAGTAGAGGCCACTGATGGATGTTTTCCTCCCCCTCTCCAAATATAAATTTAAAATAAAAGAAATTTACCCTTTGTTTTGAAATATAAGGATTTTCATATTTTCTCAGAAAAATTAGCAAACTATTGACACATACCATCTCTTAGGCAACTATTGGAACAATGATGACATTTTGCATGTGAACCCATTCCTGTGTTGGTTTCATTGCTACTGATAGACTTTGTACAGACTAACGACCTACTCACACAACTAGGTATTAAGAACCGACGGTGTGCAAAAAGCTGGGAACATAAAGATGTAGATATACGGTCAGTGGGGAAGAGCAGAAATCTAATGCGATAAAAATTTTAGAATTTCAGCAACTGAACGGAATGCATTCCTGCTGTAACTGAACCCGTATGTGCATAGATGCGCATGCGCACACAGGAAACTTGAAAAAGCATTGCTGGTTCTGCCTGTGCGGGGCAAGCAGAAGCCAAGGCCGCCTCAGGGACAGGTGCCAACAATGGCAGTGGGACACGGAGACGCCTGGGCTGTGAGTGAGCTGGCCGGTGCCTGGAGGTGCCCGGGCAGCCAGGGGCCACTCAGGAGGCTAAGTCAAGTTGGTAACAGCCCCTGGAGATGAGGAGCCAATCTGAATGAAGAGCAATCAAACAAGAGCCAGTACAGAAATCATGCAACAGACAAACATTTCAGAGTTCCGGATACCCCTGAGGCTTCAGGTACTAGAACTAAAAGATTAAGAATATAAACTACATGAAATGTGTAAAAGGAAAACAAAAAAAAGGCAAAAATTCAGTGAAAAAGCCCTGGCAGGAGCAGCTCAGTGGATTGAACGCTGGCCTGTGAAGCAAAGGGTTGCGAGTTCGAGTCCCAGTCAGGGCACATGCCTGCACTGCAGGCCAGGTTCCCTAGTAAGGGGCACGCGAGGTGCCAACCACACATCGATGTTTCTTCTTTCTCCCTTCCTCTCTAAAAATAAAATCTCTTTTTAGTAAAAGAATAAAACGGAATACTTAGTATTTTAACTGCCAGACTGCTTTACTTACCAACGACATTTAAATTCATTTTGGGAATGGAAAGAAAGCCTCAATGAGTGGCACCTTACACGCTAAAAACATCCCCCGAGAAAGAAGGTGTAATAAATGTAACAGAAAGTGTGCTTTTCTGTGAAGCGCCCGCACAGGAAAGAGCTCTTTCACGTACCACGTTTTTGATAATCTCGTCTTTGCCGTCGTGTTTCTGGACTTTGAGCAGATGGTAGCAGAAATCCAGCACCGCAAAGCGCCGCTGTTGCCCGAGAAGAACGATGATCATGCAGCCAGCCCAGTGCAGCCCGTCGCCGAAGCACTGCCTGCGAACGAGAAGCGGGGCAGAGCGGGCGCTCAGCGGGCGTCCCTCTCCGGACGCCAGTGGCCACGCCGGCCGCCGGGATCCGGCCCGGGGGGGAGCACTAGGCAGCCGGTGGCGCGTCCCTGTTGTTGGTGAGCACCTTTCAGGTCCCTGTGACACCCCCCCCCCGCCCCGTTGCCTGTTTTTAGATCACAGATCCTCCATGATGGGGTTCATGAGAATGGGGACCTACTTAGAGAAACGCACGCCGACGTGCCTGTTTCTGGGGGTGACTCCCGGAGGCCAAGCCCCGAGTCGCATCCTGCGTGTCTAGGAAGAACCTCTGTGTTGCGTGCGTAGCTTTAAAGCGGCTCACAGCAAACGTCCCGGCCGCTTTCAGAGGAGCGCGGTCCTGTGTGTTAACCCAACGCCAGCTGTCGCTGCCCTGCCCACGGAGCGACACATACTTACTCGACCGTGAACTCGTGCGTCCCCACGGGGATGCAGTAGACGAACTGCATGGCGCTCCACAGCCTGTGAAACTCGACGCACTCGTCCACGTGCATGACCCCGTTGCTGGGCAGCGGCCCGCGCCAGATGGGGTCGTCCAGGAAGGTCCGGATCCGCGTCAGGATGACCTCAAACATGGACAGGCCGCAGCAGAGACGCTCCTTGGTGAGCAGGTCCCCCTCTCTTGCTATGGCGATTTGCTGCAGAAAGGACAGCATGTCACAGGGCTATGGCCGAGCCGGGGACTGAAACCCAGCAGCCCCAGATTTGCTTCTGACTTGCTAAAAAATGATCTCAGCTCGCAGAGGAGGGTGTTTAGAAGCATCAAAAAAAATAAATATGTTGGCCCTTCCCTATATGTCTCACAAGCTTAAATATAATCCACGGTCAAGGAGGGCTGTCTAGTACGGCTGTTCTTAACCGGAGTGAGTTTGACTCTAGGGCACATTTGGCAATGTGCGCGGACATTGTTGGTCGTCACAGCTTGGCGTGGGTCTAGTGGCCTCTCACCAGCACAGGCTAGCCTACAATTCACAGGAAAACCCCCACAACAAAGAATCATCTGCCGCGATTGAGAATTGCGGAGCTTTCTACCCTGATACCTGCCTCCTGAGACTCCTACATTCTGTTCTTAAAAACCCACACAAAAGCCTCTCTCATGAGGAATGGATCACAAAAACAAGGGACATCACTGCATCCGTCTTACATGCCACTTTCCACGTGGCAGCTCACGCAAAATGTGCAGCCGCCCTGTGACCAGGTCCTGGTACGAACCCCACTGGAGGCACGAGGATCTGAGTGCACCCGCCCCCCTCCGATGCCCCGCCCCCTCCCCGAAACCCCGCCCCTCCCCCGCCGTCTGGGCGGCGGGCAGAGCGGAAGCGCCGCGCCCCTGGCCTGACGTGGACCCAGCGCGCGTTAATTACCTGGGGCGTCCCCAGTCTTTCGATCAGAGGCACGAGATGCAGCGGCGCGTACTTAGATTCAAGCCTTTTCATTTTGGCATCGAGTCTCTCTCCCTCTGCGGTGCAAAACAATATTTTACACTCCTTTGTTTGAAAAACAATCATAACAATTACATTTTATATATTAAAAAACCCCCCACAAATGACTGCTTGTGAAGATGACCTGATACATACAGATTCTCTCTGAAAATTCATTTTAGAACTGGCTCATGTGATATTTTAATTCCACATGACGGAACTGGTTTTATGGTCAATACCTTTAAAAACGTACTGACATTGCGTGGTGGGCACACAATGCAATAGACAGATCCCGTATCATAGAGCTGTAACTTGAAACCTGTCTGGCCGTGTTAACTAATGTCACTTCAATAAATAGAATTCAATTAAACACCACTTCCGGAAAATTCCCAGTGTAACCGGAAGCAGAGAGCCGCGCCGCGAACCTCGGTATTTTTTAGCTCTGGCCTCTGTGGGTTCATCCCGGCGCCCCTCCCCGCCCCCCCCCGCCCCCCCGGCCCATCCATTCTGAAGCGCATCTGCGACATCCCATCCCTTCAGCCCAGATCAGTTCGGTTTTCTGTTTTTCTTTAGCTCTGTTATATTACCAGTTACCCCCGGTGACA